AGTCGTACGATACGTACCATTGTTTACATACTAAGAAGGACTGCTTCCACAAATGCTAGAGTATATGAGTTTTCAACTCCACACCATCTATTTAAATATGAAAAAAAATCAACTGTTGAACAAAAAACAGTCCATAGGAAGCTTTAACAATTTCCGGTCTTTTTGCTTGCTGTCTATTATGGGAAACCTAAGCAATCTCATTATCGCAATGTAGGTTCTGGAACAGCAGAAATGGTGTGGAACCTTTCCATACTTGTCAATCATTTTAATCGTGTTATAGAAGAAGGTGGAAAAAGTTTTGCTTCCATAAACAATAGATTTCTTCGAAAATCTAAGAAAGCTTAAGAGGTTTTTGAAGAGCAAAGAGGAAGAAAATGGTTATTCAACGAATGAGCGATGGAACTTTGTCCTACATGGTGATAGATTTCATTGGTTAATATTTGCAACCCTGCTTTTATCATATACGTAACATTGACCAAATATTTTGTCTCTTGTTCATTTCCCTTTTACCGTTTTTTTGTCACTGCTTGAATTTTGTTATCTGAGCAAAATTAATGTCATAAACTACTAATCACCTGTACATGCTGTTCGTATAAGGTCTTACCTGCTAATAAAATGGTTACCCAACCAATGCAGGGCTTTAATCATCGTACTTCTTCAGAGGATCAGCAATTACGACTATTGACGTAGTGAATAGCTCACTTCTATACATACTTGGATACTGGGATTGCCCGCCTTCTCCTGGTTGTGGGAGCTCCAGTATAATATCCATTGGTTCCAATCTCATGCAGTCGTCGTCCATCTTGGTTTTGCCTCGAACATGGCAACGTGCGGGAGGCCCATCGCTAATCCTGAAGTCGTTCTCATCTGCAAGTTTAGATATTTCACATTGGCTACAAACACATCTGCCCATCGTTTGTGTGGTCTTCGAAGAGGGCTCTTGCATTCTCTTGGGGTCCACTCCACTGTTTCCGTTCATCAGTCCTCTGGTCTTATTATTATGTGGCAAGCACATCTCTTCTTCGCTAATGATATATAATGTTCTGGATCCGAAGATGGGATAGGTTTTGAAAATCTGAGCTGCCCATTCCAGCTGAACGTTGTGAGTGCCGGTAAAATTTCAGAAGACATCGTCCTATTTGGGATTTTTTTCAGAATTTTTTTCGCGAAATTTGGAGTTCGTTAATTGGTCGATGGCTTATTTTGGTAGCCCGAATAAGGCCCATGCTATTGTCTTTCTTCCATCAATTTCCTCCTTTATGTTGTTCTCCATGTTGATTAAACGTCCAAGATCCACGCACGAGGTGGTATCTGTAATCAGAGGGCTACCCAATTCGACTCGTTTGGTTTCACACCATGGATTCTTCATGAGCCTTCGTCATATTTATGCGCACTCTAATCTTTTTTTCTTGCTTCGTTAAGTTCATTAAGCAACGTCTTTGCTTTACTGGTAAAGAGCTAAAAAATAGAGCTCTCGGCCTTGATCGATCCATGAGAGATGCGCCATGTATTCGACTTCATCAAGCATCGTCAAAGGTTACTAAATGGCTATAGATATTTTACCTATACAATGAATAACTCACGGTGGCCTATCGAGTATCGAGCCAGTGTTGCTACCCTACCAGACAAGTCTGTCACCAATTTACCGACTCCGAAGGGATATAAGATTTGGTGAGCTTAGGACGCGGGATCGAACCCATATGTGCTGCGAGATACCTCTAACCACTGGGCCCCACACATCCGTCTTGCTTCACAAGTGCTCCTAAAAAAGACGGCGATGTTATCCGAGAGAGGGAGATATGGCGAGAAGCTTTCATCAACACGTATGCCATTCATGTCCCAATCGAGTGACTTCATTCCACTGCAGTGCGGCAACAAACAACTTTGCCTATACTGTGTGCCCTTGTCGAACCTTTTTTCTTATGGCTATGGCGACAGGTTGACGAAAAACCTGTGTATTTCTGCTGCAGCTCCGGTAACAGTCAGTGTTCGTATATTAAATGGGTTAACTCTGTGGTCAACGGGCACTGATAAGATTGCAACCGTTTCGATGCTGTCAAACGCTTTTCCTTAGTTGGTAAAGGCTAAGACGAAAGCAGATGTTACTCTTGAAAACGTTTTATGACCGGTGATACTGTTTGGATGCTATTCACACAGCAGAATCCCTGTCGGAATCCTGCTTGCCCACCTAGTTGCGCCTCACCCATTGTCCTTCGTATTCTCGACGACAAAGGTGAAGAGCTTGCAATTATGCTTAGCTGGCACATTAGATGGTAGTCATGAAGAGCCGTTCGGACAGCCGTCTTGAGTATGATGACTGTGCGCGAAATCCTTCACTGGCCTGGGATTTTCTTTCTGAAGATAAATTGTCATGTGGGTTGGGAGAAGCATAATACATGTGATTTATGGCCATCACCTGACTGGAAAAAGCATAAGAGCTTGGCTGCCTTCTAAACTCTAAGGATCCACACTGATTAAATGAGTAAAATTCCGGCTTCAATAACCTGTACACTTGGTGCACCCTGCCTACGACGTCGAGCGGTAGACAATTGGTGGGAGGTGAACAAATCTCAAGCTGCACAGGCGTAATTGAAAAGAGGCATGCGACCACGACACCGCAAGAAAACTACTTCTTGCTGCGAGTATATAACTCTAAAACAGATTCTTCAAACGCCGACTTCTGTGCTCTTTTGACGCCGTCGATCGCATCAAATTTCATGTGATCGCTCTACAAGAGACGAAAAGCAGGAAGATCGTCATACCCCTGTTCCATGACGAAACCCTTTTTTTCTGTGGAAAGAAATTTTCGTTAGAAAATGCGAGAGGCGTTGGCTTTGTTGCAAACCCATCTACTTTTCATCTAGTCATACGAAAACTTATCACTATGGTTGGCCATTGTTCGTCTCGAGCTTGCGCGTCAGAAAAAACTCAGTGTCATCAACTCTTACCAATTTGTAATCTGCAACGAGAAGTCCTATAAAGTCGTATATTAGGCCGAACAGCGAAACATTATAGTCTCCAAGATCGCGACGGCACTTCTTCAGACTTGATCGTTTTTGAGATGCTTCCAATAACTTTTCAGTCTATACCTGACTTCTCTTTTCGACCAACTCCTTAGCGTTCATATGAGCAGAGGCTAGTGCTGATGATGTCCTTGTCGTACATGACTTGTTTCGTTTTTATTTTAGACACTAGGAGCTCATTTCCAGCTCGAGACTTGATAGAATCTTCGAACGAAAGCGCTGTTTAAATCCTGTACAGAATCCAGGCACCACTAGTGTGTCAAAGAGGTACCGCTCTCTTTTCGTGAGAACATGATCGATCTCCGCATGAGTCGTGCTGCTGGGTCACTTCCAGGCCCATCGGCGACTGTCTCGATATCGAAAAATTGATTTGAATAAAAGAAACTTGTACCTGATAGGAAGCCTGCAAGAAGATTTTCATTTTTATTTCGTTCTCTTCTTTCGAATCTTCCTATCCTCTGTACACTTTCGTTCGCCGTTCTTAATCTGGCATTGAAGTATCCAAAAACGAATTCATAAGACTTCTCGTTGTAGATTACATCCTCTAATTGAATGTGAAACTCGTCCAGCTCGCTCTCATCACCTGTATTCAGTAACAACTGATGACACTGGCTTTCTTCTGACGCTCAAGTTGGAGAAGAAGAACAGCCATGTGCTGTGAGAGAATTTCGTATGAGATGCTAGAAGGTGTACGACAAAGCCTATGCCTCCAAGATTCTCTAACAAAAATTTTTTCCCACAATTAATAAAAAAGGTTCCGTCATGTAACTGTTGTATGTCCTAGTTCCTGCTTTCCGCCTTCTTCAGAGCAATCGCATGGAATTTGATACAATCGCCAGCCTCAAAAAAGCATAGAAGTCGACACCTCAAGAGCCTGTTTTGGCGTTATGTACATACAGCAGGAAGTAGTTTCCTTTCGGATCAAAAAAAGATTTACCATCAAGTGATAAGTTTGATTCCAGAACGGATTTCTGGTATTGGTTCACTCTTAGCTGGACTTCCAAGTAGGAACGTCTGCTTGGCTTGTAAGTCCCTTGTGGCTAATGGACTTCCCCAGCATCCAGGAGCACTTCCCTGCCACGGTGAGGGGTAAACCGTTCGGAGGTTGAGCATACTGTACAAGTTTTCACAAGCGTCGCTCCGACGTTTATTTCAAAGAAGCTGATTGAAACAAGAGTAATAGATGAAGCATGGTTTTGGCTATGATTTACCTGTGCGGACGACATCCTAACACTTTAGAAAGTTCTAGAGGTTTATAGGGAATGTGTAGTTTTCTTTTTCAGTAGCCGCGAAGTTGTCACACAGTATGCGTTTACTTCAGTACAAAAAACACACACCGCACAACAGTGGCTGATCCAAATATCGATCAACGTTTCGTTAAATAAATGACAATGAGATGAGTAAAAAGCAAAACCAAGAATAACACGGCAATGAAGAAAATGTTAAGTGGGATCCCGCTATTTTAAACAATATCTTTAAACCTGCGAGAAATATGCGGCACCATTTCTGTGGCATACGAAGGCCAGTTGCGTTTGTTGCTGATGTCAGACCTAGATTTCCAAGCCGTAGCCAAACTTACATATTGACTTGATCATCTCCGTAGATGCACGACAACAAATGAGTGGACAAATTGTTGAGCACACATTACTTTGAAAACCGGTCATCTAAGAAAGTTAGGTCATTATCGTTATCCTCGTTATTGTTTAATAGGGGCTTTTGCTGAGCAAACAATTGACAACTTTATTCTCGACACTGCCAGGTTGCAGGTGTATTCGGGACCAAAATGATGTGCCGATGTTAACTTATATACTCAGAGATAACGTCTGGAAACCTAAAAACTCGATTTTTAACACTGACTTTTGAAATTAAGAAAGTGAAAAATAATGTGGCGTTTAATACAAGGCTCACAACTTGCCGAATGCTGTTATGAGGACAAAGTGCATTTCTCTAAAATATTTTTAACTAAATATGTTGTAGTCACTTTTTCTTTACAAACATTTCACCGCTTTTTGCAGGAAACGACAGTGATGTATTTATCGGATTGGCTGCACCAATAAAGGAAACCGACAAGAACAGCCGTACGCAAACGCTCAAGAAGCAGCAAAGGAAAGAACCCACTCTCATCGCAAACACAACGACAACGAGCACCACTACTCCAACGACGACGACTACCACCACTACTCCAACGACGACGACTACCACCACTACTCCAACGACAACGACTACCACCACTACTCCAACGACGACGACTACCACCACTACTCCAACGACAACGACTACCACCACTACTCCAACGACGACGACTACCACCACTACTCCAACGACGACGACTACCACCACTACTCCAACGACGACGACTACCAGCACTACTCCAATACCGATAACGAGCGCCATCACCACTTCAACGGTAGAAACTACATCGTTTAAAATAACAGTAACTTTACCTGCTACATTGTCTATGATCCCTATTACGAGAATAGCATCTACTGTCACCTTCTCTTTTAAGACAAACACAACATCAGCTGCTACACAATCTGTTGCGAGTGTTATGAAGACTACTACGACAAGCATGATTGGCTTAGGGTAAGGATACTTTCTAATTACTGTTCTTATTATCTTATCTGAAACATTCTCTCAACTTTTATTTACTACCTATCCTTTTTTTATGACAGTGTACGATATGAAATGCAGCCCTAGAAATGTCGAGATATGGGTAAAACACATCTTTATGAGGATGGTAGGCTTGCTGAGTGCCAAACGTGGGGTCGAACCCAAGGCCGATTCAGAGTACCTCTAAGCAGAAAAGATCGGCTATGAAAGAGGATTAATTCTAAGCAGATACATCCTAGTTATTAGTCTATCTGCTTAACTAACGACAATCTATTTTTCACTAGTGCTTTTTCACAAGTAGCGCTATGAAACGGCATCACAAGGGCAAGTTTTATTCTCTACTAGAGATAGCTCTTAAAATTACTACAAGATGAGATTGTTAATTGGATACATTTTTCAAATAATCTATGATGAAAAAGTGATTTCAGTGGTGAGGACACGCCGTATAATCAGAAGAGGGAGAAGAAATCCGACCAATCTATTCTGTAAGATGTTTTCGGCTTTCTGTTGAATTAATTAAAGAACGAATTATTCTTAGAAATATAAGTGTGTCTAAGTGCTTTAAAGTATAAAAGCTATGATATTTTTAGAATCACTCTGTTATGGCTGATAGCAGTAGCTGTTATAATTATCTCGATTTCCTATGTTTACTATGATCATCGAAAATCACGACACCGCCAGATGAACAATAGTGCTCCGAGTTCTTTCTTGTTCATTCACAAAAAAATTCTTAATGATTTTCATATTGCTGTAATTTTTCACTTTAGAAGAATCGCCCGAAGTGGAAAAGACGATTACCAAACAAAGTAAACTCTCAACGAAACGCAAAAAAGTTGGTTATAAAGTTATTACTGTCAAGTGTGGCTTCGGCAAGTTGACCAACGATGTTGCACCTCAGTTGTAACCGACTAAGTTTGTATTGTTGTTTTTCAGCTCAAAAAGAAGCCACGACAAATTCAAGCCGCGAAGTTAAATATGGAAGAATTCAAGAAGAAAGGACCGCTTGTACTTCAAGCCGCTTTTCGTGGGGATATTGTATGTATAGTATTATTAATAGTTGAAGAATTTTTTAACTATTCATATATAATTATAACCTGTTATCTACTGCCTACTCTTTTTAATGACAGGGTATATTACGAAATATAACTTCAATGATATTCAATAAATGATGCTGAGATATTTGCAAAACTCCAGTCCGCAAGTGTCTGCGGTGGGAACGAACACACTATTACACTTTCCGGGGCGCTAACGCGCTCACCACCACACCATGCGGGTCCTTTGTTTCGCCTGTTTCTCAGCTAGTTCTGCCGATCAACGCCATCATCAACCACCCGCCGGAGGGTTTGATCTAGGGAGCCCAAATCGGCAACGAGCCTGGTTAAGCGGAGGCTGTAGTTATAATCACAATTTTAACTTATTATTTACTACCCTTTTTAAGGACAGGATATATTGCAAAATATAACTTCAATGATATTCAATGATAATCCAGCTGACGGGTGATTGCTGATGGCGTTGATCGATAGAACTAGCTGATAGACAGGCGAAACGAGGGACCCGCATGGTGTGATGGTGAGCGCGTTAGTGCCCCGGAAAGTGTAATAGTGTGTTCGTTCCCACCGCAGACACCTGCGGACTGGAGTTTTGCAAATATCTCAGCATCATTCACTGAATATTTATATGTGAAGTGGCACGGCTAATGCAGGGCAGTGACCAGAGGTCTCCTGAAACACAGGTGGATCTTGGTTCGTTTCGGCGCACTGGGCAAACCAAGACCGCCTTTTTTTCGAGGTCGACACTTTGGCACCAGACTTGTCTAAGAGGATGGAAGCACTAGCTTGATTCATCGATGGACCTCCGCAGGGCATTGCCAATTATATCTGGAGTCATCTCTTCGATGTTACGAATGAATTCGTATGCGTGGAGAATTCCTAAGAAATTGATTAATACCGCACCGCTTTAACGTTTTTACTTAACTCTTGGGTGTAAGATACACCCCACAATGAATGCTATAGTGGTTCCATTGTTAGATACCTCATAGATAATTTTCGTGGTCTTGCTATCTGGTCTTATCTTTAAGCACGAGATAAGTCATGACAGAACTTGTCTAGGAAATCGTGGTTTTTGGCCTAATATTGATTTGACGGAAAGGATCTTAACAAACATGGTTTCAGTAGGTTAAGTGCCAACTAATTATGTTTCGGACACTGACACGCTATCACCAAGTTATTTCAAGGTGTTCGTGTGAAGAAGTTATATAAAGTCTGAGAATTATCTCCCAATTTCAGAAACATCAACTTGATGAAGATAAATCTGTAAGCCTGAGAGGACTAAACTTTGATCCAAATCAAAATTCTATCGTTTGGATTGGAACCGAAGTTGAGCATGTTGAAGGCGTAAGTGAATGAGTGCTGAAGAAAAGCTCTGTAAAGATAATATCTACCAGAATTTCCTAGAACTATCTAATTGGGTTTCGTTCAGCAATCACCACCAAAGTCATCAGGTTATGATGGAATCCTAAACACGGTAAGAAAAATACTGAAGTCGCCTTTTTTTTTCGCTGAAGCTACATTTGTTTCTAAAGATTTTGACTATGGACTTTCACTCTGCCCACTAAATTTGAGAAATAGCTGAGAGTAGGTATACATTTCCATTTATTACTGGCATCACTCATAGGGCGAGTATGGCGCAGTGGTCGGAAGCGCTCTGCAACACACACGTAGAACCAGTCTCCGTGCCCTTTGCTCACCAAGCCTTCCATCCCTCCAGGGTCTGCAAATTGGTGCCAGACTTGTTTGGGAGGGTAGCTGCACTGGCTCGATGCACCGATAGGCCATCCATTCATTGTAAACCCCAGATATGGATTCAATCACCTCGAAACGTTGCTTAATAAATCCGAATGCATGGTGCATCCTTCAGAGATTTGATCAACGGAGAGAGCTTTTAACTTCTTATCACTCATAAAAGTCTTTTAATTATAGAAGGCTTATTTGGCAATTTAGAGTTGTTTGAGTGCTAATAAGCTTGATTATAAGTGAAAAGATTGCTATTCATGTGGAATTCTCAAGAATTGCATTACTTGCCTGTGATCCGTCGGAATATAGAAAGCTGCAGGTCATAAAACATAAAAATAAATTGCTCAAATAACGTGGAAATCTCCAAAGAAAAGCGCTAGATGGCTACCTTAAGGAGCTGATTGCGGTGGCTAACCTCGATGTTTCTCTTGAAGCAGAATTTCTTTCGACTGTGAAGACATCTTTTTTTGGCGAAAGACGATATGTCCAGAATAAATCTGAATCCCGATTTGCTAAAAAAAAAACACATTCAGTGTACGTGCTTACAGATGAGCACATTGGTGGTGGCTCCTCACACTTCACCAACAACTGGCATGCCGTCAAACATAAATTAGACTTCACTAGTAATTTTTCGGTAGGAAGTTCCAATTTACAGCCGGACCAATGTTCTGCTGATCAACTGTTGGAAAAAAAAACTCTACCTAGCAAAAGATAAGCTTGTTGGTGATGGTGTCCTCCCTTCTGATGACGAAAGAGATCATGCCAGCCCAAAGGCCGTACTCACAAGTACGAATCTAATAGAAGGTGATTTTAGATGAAAACGCAGTCAATTATTGGCGTTAATGCGAAGAAGACAAGTGAAACGAAAACAAAGCAATCTACAACACCATCAAATGGCTCAAAAAAATCCACGGAGTCATCAGCACTACAACACAAAGCCTCTACATCTAGATAATTCTCATCAACAGTAGTAATGTTGCTTCTGTGCTATAATAGAAATAATAGGGAAATATTTGACAAATTGTAAAGCACTAGTGGCAATATTAGTAATAGCAGTAGTAGTACAATACTAGTAAGTTCAATGAAGCAAGAATACACTACCGTAATCGGGATTACTGTTACTGAATGATGTGATATTAAACCGATTTCATTGTATCAGCTGAACAATTAGGACAAATATATTTGTATTTGATCTTGCTTTCGTTGATTTTTGACGCCGTTGGCGATATGGTCTGTTATCGTTGTAATATTATGAACTTTCTCATTGTTTCTTCAATATTTATCTAAAGTTTCATTAGCAAAAGTTTATAGCAATGTAGTGGGTTACTACTGTTTCATCGGTGTTAAAATAAATATTAAGTGCTTTTAATGTTGTTGTTGCTGTTGTTGTCGTGGTCCCCATTACCGGTGTTGTGTTGTTGTCGGTGATGATAATGATCATAATGACAGTGATGATGATGATGATGATGATGATGATGATGTGCATTTGGAAATCCCGTAGCTTATCATTCTCTAAATAACTTTAATGCTTCGATGTTTTAGAAAACAGTACATGACCTACCAGTAGTTCCATGCAAGTAGCTGACTTTCCTAGTTGGGCTGGTGTCCTTTCAGGAATGCTGAGATAACAAGGTCAGGGCACTCAATGAACGATACGACAAAAATCTGTTTATTATTGGATAATCGATCCTTGAAGAATTTCTGCTTACCCTCCACTGAATACTATTGGGAGGTCGAATCGATCGGTGTGAAGGATTAAGATAGATAAAGAGATAAGTGTATAATGAGCTTCCCATTGATGTGTGTCACAAGCCGCTTCAATGCATGTTTGGCCTATAAAATGGCCTATAAAATTTTTTGAGAGACCTCCAACTGTACAAAATCAACGTTTTTATGCTTGCAAACTAGAATAATGTAAATTTTTTCGACCAGGAAGGATGAAGAGCTCGATAATCCTGCGATGCAAGGTCGAACCAGCGGCATATTCATTGTGTACTGCAGGAGACCTCTGGTTTCTCGGCGACACGCAGCTCTACTGGAAGTATCGTATCAGAATAAGTATTCGCCTATTCTGTTATTGTTGCATGACTCTACGTCTTAATCAATGGATAGTGAGCAAGACCGCGTTACTGTTCAAAAAGCGTGCTCTCTACGATATCGCCAGTTATACTCCGTGAGATACAAGATACCGTTGTCTCTCACTCTCATCGATTTAAACAAAGCTTTAGACCCCAGTTGAGAAAGATGCAGTTACGAATGCTCTGGAGAGCCAAGACTTCTCCATTCAGTATATAAAGATTCTTCGTAAGTTTTATAAAAAATTGTATAACCAAAGATCGCCATTTTACAACGACATAAATATCTTAACAACCAACTTCCATTAAACCTCAGTAACAACAAAGGTAAAACGATAAAAGGATAAAGCTCTCGGGGTTGATCAATCCCTGAGGGATGCGCCATGCATTCGACTTCATTAAGCATCGTTTGGAGGCCATTGAATGCATATCTGGCCTTTACAATGACTCGCAGTGGCCTACCGATGTATCGAGCCAGTGCTGCTATCATCCCAGACAAGTCTGGTACCAATTTGCCCACTCCAGAGAGGTGGAAGGCTTGGTAAGCCATGGGAGCGAGGATCGATTCCACGTATGTGTTGCAAGGCGCCTCCAACCACTGCGCCCTTCAGTAACAATAAGCAATAATTTTTTACATGATATTGTTAAGATCGTCTGAAGATGCTGTTTTTAAGAGACTTTTTGTCACAACAAGTGCCAGCAAGTGAAGCACCTAGCAACGGGACGCATTGCGTGCCCAAAGTAGATCATTCCGAGTTGGGAGTCCATCAATACCCGTTATGTGCAAAAGGGCACCACTTAATGAAGTTCTCCACTCAAGCGGTGCTCCCTCCTCTGGATTCTACTCGATGGAACAACGAATACTCACATGGTGAAAACGACCAGCTGTGGACCATTTACTTGGATAAACGCGGGTCTGAGGAACGCGAAAGTGCCGAAACGTTAGCCGAATAAAAGTTTATGCAAACCGTGTGTTAAGCTATTCATGTAAAAAATTATTAAAAATTAATATCGAAATGAAAATAGGGGTTAGGCTAGGCGATACCATCTTGCCAAAATTATCTACCGCCACTCACGAAAACGTCATGCGAACATTGGAATGGGATAATATGGGAGTGAACATCGATGGTCGTCAATTACATCATCTTCACTTTGCTGACGACATCGTCTTTATAACGCCAAACATTAGCCAAGCCGAACGTATGCTTGCTGACTTTGATAAAGCCTGTGGAACAATTGGTCTTCGACTAAATCTCACAAAAACGAAGAAAGAACGTTCATGAAGAACGGATTGGTTTCGTATACCCCATTCACGCTCAACGGAACGAATATCTCCGAATGCTCCAGCTATGTCTATCTAGATGGTGAAATCAATATGATGAACGACCTAGCTCTCGAGTTGAGCAGAAGAAAGCGACCGGCTCGGAGAGCTTCCAAGAGCATCGATAATGTAGTGGAGACAATAACGAACACCTGACTCCATGCCCAACTTTTCGACTCTTCGACTTCCTGTCTTAACTTATACGTAAAAAATCTGGTTGCTAAGCAAGATGAAAGTTCGCTAAGCTTTATCGAATGCGCGGTGGAAGGGACGATGCCAGGAGTATCCCATACCACGCAAGCGAAAGAAAGGATCCGAAATTCTTGCCACATAAATGATCAAAAGTCAAAGGCCCCGTTCTACATACAAGTTTTCGAAGGTGAGGTGGGCTATACATGTAATCCGTCTGAGTGATAGCCGATAGATAAGAATAGTTAGCGGCTGGATTCCTCGTGATACCAAGAGTACTCACCACCAAGTCGATACTCAGAGTTATTTAAGAAAACATTGGGAAGAAGATTTGATGCTCAACGAACTCCTACAGCCGTCAGAACTCATTGGTCTACTTTTACAGACGACAGATAGAAATGAAAGATTTTCTGGCGCCGTCTTGATTTATTCGACAATTAATGGCTCCACAGGTGGTGCAGGTGAACCGTCATCATACGTATCACACTGTGTGGTTAAGCACCAGTTAGAGAAAAAAATGGTTTTCATGGCCAGAAAATTAGACAAATAGTGTTTGTTGTGCGTCTCAATCGTCTTTGAAATCCGATCGTATCACTCACTAATGGGTAGCTCAAACGGGCACCACTAGCCTCATTTGTCTCTCTTAAACCGCTCAGTTGCTTTCACTCACTGGAAAGCACCACATTTTTGATTTAATGCCCTTCTTTGAACCAACTTTTCTTGAGAGGAGAGTCGAAGATAGCTTGTTAGAACTTGATGCAGTGTAGATTGACCTTTTGAATGAAATGTTGAACTTCTTATCAGCTTTGATGACCATGACGACCCGACGAATTTCTTCATATCGCAAGTTGACGCATAGGAATACCCACTAAACGCTGTGAGATAACATGAGTCAGGCCATTTTGAAAAAGGCAGTCAGTGTGGTGTTGTAGATATAAGCGTTTAAATAGGATTATCAGTTGTTACAAGTCATAAGCATATGTAGGAAACATCCGTACCTCAGTAATGGGTTTGCATTCATTCGCGGGTGAGAGTTTTCAAGTTGGAAAAACTTTAGCATTCCATACTTCCATATACGTCATTTTCCTAATCCTTACTTCGCAGCTATTTCTTATAAAGGTGCCAACTCAGCATAGGCTCCTGATGCTCTTACACCCTGCCAACTAAAGCGTATCTGCCTCCTAATTAATAGAATGTTTTTTTTGTTTCAGCGATTGCAACTGAACTGTCAACGGTTAATAAAATATTTCTTAATCCATGATATCTATGATATCCTTATACCTGAACGTTTTTAGGTGTAATATACAGTTTTTATTGAGAATTGGATCTTTATCTCTCGCTTTTCGCTTTTGACCTGCACTCTGGAATGACTGAAATTTTTACCAATTACCACTTTCTGATTGTGCTGATTCCCAGACAACTGTGACGGGGTGTGTCTAAGCCTGTTATCTCGTTGATCGATTGAACTCCATTCCTTGTCTATCGTCACGATATGTTACTTCTTGTCACTAAACATCCAAAATTGCCATGACAATTCTTCATAATTTGTCCAATCCGCCTATATGCTTCCAACCCGGCAGCATCGAGAAGCAACCATTTACAAATGGCTGGACCTGGCCTGTTACGTAAAGCACAACCACAACGGGTAGCTGGTCATCGGTATCTCATAAAAGGAAGATATTTTCACTAGCAGTCGGGTTCATAAGTATTTCATGAAAGAGCTGTAGCTTCTGGCATGATCGCATCATTTGTTCACAACTTCGTTAACTTTTTGCCATGCTTCGGATCTACTAACGTCTAGAATAGACTCAAAACTGGGTGAACGTGGTTTGTCGGACGAAGCGCGACGATGCTGGTATATCGCTTTTCATACTGTGTAGAGAAGGATATTTCTAGGTAATAGTAGGATTTATGAGTGCTTCTAAGTGAGTAGAATAGCTGTGGTGGTGATGGTCAGTTCATTTTTCCTTATCTACACGTGCAAGGGGTACCTGGTGTGTTCAATTGATAAACACCCCGTACAAATGATATGATAACAAAAATATTTTCAGTTGGACATCATGGTAAGTTCGCGTTTAAGTCTTCTAAACTCCACAAATATTTATTTTTATTTTTGTAGCATAAAAGTGATGGTTCTTAAATAACAGCTGATACGGTGGTAACAACTATTCGTTAGACTATATTTCTCTCTTAAAGCTGCAACATTGTCCTCATATGTTAATAATTAACAAGTAATATTATCAGTAACAGAAATAGAATCAGTATAAATCATGACAGAAGTGATTACAATTATGTGTGCACCAAAACGAGGTCGTGGGTTCACCCCAATAGGGTCTCTCAAGCTGAGATGGAGTCCGGTATTTCCATCAGAAAGGCCTCTTAAGATTAAACCAATACCTAGATCCACCACCGTCCTGATATAAAACTAGTCACATGGTGGCAAATCTCCTTCCGATTCACAACGGCGGCGACTGTCTGTGGTGGTGACAGCCTGGGGCATACTTTGACTAGGCTGACTTGGGGCTCCAAGGAGCCAAGAATAGCTAAACCAGCAAAACTTTGAAGAATGAAAATTATGCTGGGGCCTGCACAATCAGTGAAAAAGGGCCATCCAGATATGCAAGCAAGTAAGTAAATAAATGGAAAAAGATACCATGAACAACATGATATTTTACCAGCATCACTGAACAGTTTTTGAAAATAATGAAAAAATTTTATGGAACATTAGTTAACTACGAAATAATCAATAAATTTCCAGAAAATTCTTCTGATTTCGTTGCTCTTCACACTTTTGGAGGGTGGAATCGGTAGCGATTCATCAGAAGACAACGACAATTTCTACCTCTCTGGAAGGCGTTTCACACTTGGTATGAGCCATTCTAGGTGGTGATGATTTTGATACGTATTGATTAAAAGATTGCACTAACAAACCATTGAAAATTTTCTAACATCAGTGAAAACATTTCAATAAACAATGGATTTTCAAAGCGTAGAAAGGACGGCTATCAGAAAATGTGTCTCATAAAAGCAGCAAGACCGCCGCAATGCTCAAATCTCACCTTATTTATTCCTATACTATTGTAAGAGCAATACTTCAATTATTAATTAAGCTTCTTTCTCTTACTGGTTTCCCAGTGTTTTTTCTGTTCTGGTGTTTCCAATCGTTTCTTGTTCAGATCGCTTCCGAAATCGTCATATTCCACGGGAAGCCGAAGAATTGACCGGCAAACAGCTGATTGACTACGTGAATAGAAAGCAGAAATTGTGGAAAGTCAGTTGATGTATAGTTTTTTTGCCTAAATGAAGAATCTTTTGTGATTCTCCAGATTTTTTAGGCCAAGAAGCATCGTCGTTTCGTCCACTATCCAGATCGTACAAAGTGGGGTCTGATGGGCGTGAACCATGTTCATCTAAGTGTGAAGGTTCGACCGCATATACGTTTTCCTCATTTTCCTCACGCTTTGCATCGATTTTATCACTTTAATCTATTTTGCAAACAAGTTTTAATGAATAAAAATAAAGTATCGGTTTTTTTCATGGTTATATCGAGAACGTCCAGTGCTTATCATCTCTTTCTGTCGCACAACACACATAAAGTGCCGTCGTCTTCTTTGACATGTGATGTGATCAATTTTGTTATCAATGACGTTCTTTGCTCTCATTCTAGGCAAAACAACATTTGTCCAGCACTAAAGATCTCGATATCGATATTCCGGAGACGTTTGATGCTCGTCAACATTGGTCAAACTGTCAATCGATAAAGAATATTCGCGATCAATCAAGTTGTGGTAAGCGGGTTTATTGATTCGCCCAAGAATCAGAATAGCGAAATGAAGAACGGCCTAATGTATGAGAAGTGTATAGATACATATACAAGATAAGAGACGTGAAGTAGATAGCATTTGTTTTCTACGCTTACATAAAAGGATAAAAAGATTGAAGCTCTCGGCGTTGATCAATTCCTTAGGGATGTACCATGCACTCTACTTCATTAAGCATCGTATGGAGGTGATTGAATACATATCTGGCCTTTACAATGCTTCGCGGTGGCCTACCGATGTATCGAGCCAGTGCTGCTATCCTCCCCGACAAGTCCGGTCCCCCAATTTCCGGACAATTTCTCAAAGCCTGAAGTATGAAGGGATTGGTGGGGTGGGGCGTATGGATCGACCCTAAGTGTATTGCAGGGCGCTTCCGACCATTGCGCTACACTTGCCCCTTGCGTTTACATCGCCTGTATCACCTGTATCACCTGTAGTCCCGTTGATCGTCGAGCGACTCGAGCGGGCGCCAGGAAATCTTCCATTTTTCCGTGTCGCGTGCAAGAGTAGCCCAGTGAGTTTTGCCTGCTCCTGGAGCTCGTTTACATAGGTCAATATAATGGCGCGAGTGGTGACGTAGGCGCTCTGCAGTAAACACAGGGCCATTGTTGTCTACAATGATGAAACGACTGACTTGATACTTCAGTGGCCCTCCGATTGGTCAGACATGTACTCATGAACCCTGCTACTCGAATAAAATTAGATGAATGTGTTAACCTGTGGTGGTTGAGCTCTATCTATAGGAGACTCCGACAGTCAAGAAACAGAATGGCACCATGACGTTGAACATCACATCGAATAGAGCAACAGCTGCACTGTTCCAATGACACCTAGTTGATAGTATACATCACTGAATCCCGGTAAGACAGCAACAACAACAGCGAAAAAAGCAACAAAAATAGCAACTGCACATCAGTGGGCGAATCAAATTTCTTCAAGAAAAATCGGTCAGACGTACAAGAACTCCTCTCCACAAAATTATTTGAATAAACAAAACACCCTATCGCGAACATCTTATTCAGAAAAAATATACACATTTTTGGTGCTTGCACAGTTCACACATTGAAAAGGGAACGGAAAAAAGACTAACAAAACAAATTGATTGGCATTGGCTCATCTCATAAAGGTTAGCCGTGGAATCGATCATTCAGTGAAGTACTACGGAACTCGGCCGATTTGCCCCAGACAATAATCTGAAGCGGCAAACCATAATCATAATGCGTACCAAGTCTATTTTTATTCCTCATAACAGATCTGGTATTAATTTACTAACTTCGAAAGGATAGATGGCTTGTTAGTCAGTCCAGAACTTGCGATCCCAGCAACGGTCTTGTGCATATTGTAGGGCATCCTTAATTGATGCGCTAACCGCGCTCCCGTAATGAATATGAAGAATGAAACTTCTAAGACAGATCAATATGTACCCATTTATTTTTTTAATAATTTTACATGAGTTGTTTTCATGTCTACTTCTCGGATCTCAGTGCACACTTTTTTCTGGTAAATATTCCTCGACCTCCGAAGAACTGGAGGGTTATTGTGAATGTGGGCGGATCCAGCCACCACCATGTAGCGATGAATGACATCACTACCACTGCAATAACATCCCACTATTATTTCATTACTTGCTTTTAATTTTCGAATTGGAACAGAATTTACTCAGTAACCACTTCAACTTGCCGTTTTCAGGATCATGTTGGGCATTCGGAGCTGTGGAAGCAATGTCCGATCGCATATGCATTGCATCGAATGAAAAGATACAGGTGAAAAGATAATTAGGAATGATTCATCTAATTATGGAAAAAACAATGAAATTACTAACGGCTGAGAGACAGGCGAAACAAAGGACCAGCAAGGTGTGGTGGTGAGCGCATTTAGACCCAGAAACGTAAATAGCGAATTGGATCCCCACTGCAGACACCTGCGGTCCCGAGTTTTCCAAATATCTCAGCATTATCCTTTTCGGGGAGTAACGCGTTCACCACCACACCATGCGGGTCCTTCGTTTCGCCTGTCTCTCAGCTATTTCTATCGATCTTTGCCACAACAATCACCCGTCAGCGGGATTGATCTGGGGCGCCCAAATCGGCATAGAACCCAGTTAAGCTGCGGCTGTAGTTGAAATCACAATGTTATACCTTTTTATTTTCTGCCTACTATATTTTCGTGGCAGAGTACTAAGCGAAATGCAACTACAACGTTGCTGAGATATTTGAGCTGACGGGTGATTGCTGTGGCAAAGATCGATAGAAATAGCTGAGAGACAGGCGAAACAAAGGACCCGCATGGTGTGGTGGTGAACGCGTTACTCCCCGGAAAGGACAATAGCGCGTTCGTTCCCCACCGCATACACCTGCGGTCCGGAGTTTTGCAAATATCTCAGCAACGTTGTTGTATTTCGTTTAGTACCCTGCCGCGAAATTATAGTAGGCAGAAGATAAAAAGGTATAACATATCTCAGCTTTGTTTTGATTATATGTCACATCAGACTCTGCCATGAAATTAAGCAGTAAATAAAAACGGGCTAAAGTGGAGTTAATGTTTTTATTGTCTACTGTTGTAACATTGTCTTTTAGGTCACGCTTTCTGCCGACGATCTTCTCAGTTGCTGCAGAACCTGTGGTTTTGGGTGGTTGTTTTCAAATAAAAATATGAAAAAATTGCTTTAGAAATAAAAATGAGAAAGGATGTTCTTCAAACTTTCGAGAAACTAATTAGGCACTAGAACGTTCCACCGTTTCTTCTGTACGCCTTGAAAACAGCCTAACGTTCTTAATAGTAGACATATTTGTTCACTATATGTATCTCTGAATCTGTAAACTGCAGCAACGTGGGAAAAAAAGTAACCATCATAAAAATAACTAGTGCTTCGCTCATTTCCTGTCTAATACGTTCTCCTTACTCCTTAACAGATGTGAAGGCGGTGATCCAATGTTAGCATGGCAGTACTGGGTGGATCACGGTATAGTTACTGGATCGAATTTCACGGTAAATCAAGGATGTAAGGTACAGCAAGTTCATATAAAAGAAGAAAAAATCAAAGTGCATTTATAATAATGATCAATGCATTTAGCCCTATCCATTTCCGCCATGTGAACATCATTCGAATAAAACTCGCTTTGATCCATGTCGACATGATCTTTACCCAACACCGAAATGCTCTAAGAAATGCGTACCATCCTATAAAGAGAAGAACTACGATGATGACAAATTCTACGGTGAATCTTCTTCTCGTTATACTATTAATATTGATATGCATTACGGCTTTCATGTTAGCTCTATCCTTCTAGAAGTGAAATTTTTCTTTTCAAGCTTCGAAAGAAGCTAAGTTCAGTAAGAGAAGAAATGAGGGATATAGAGTATGGGAGAAAGTAGCTTTGGTACTGTTCAAAAAACAATCAGTATCCTTATTGAAACATTTCTGGTCGAAAATTCTCGTGAACTGGGATATTAAAATGATATATTAACTATGAACTCCTGAGAAAAGTTTCCAGACTCTTTCTCAAAGAGTGGAGAATTCTTGGACGAGGGTTGTTTTATAGGTATTACTCTTGACCCTAACTTCTAACAACAAAATTGTCTTTAGAAGCATTTCGAAACCGACCTTCCCTAAACCTCGGTGTAACTAATCAATATTTATCAACCTCGTGCAAGCTTATCAAGAAAGAATACATATTGATTATGTCTTTAGAAGTGTTATTCCCACCACTTCTTCTTCAAGTATCATAGCCCCTAAAGTTATTCTAACTTGCATATTTTTGATTTATTTAGCACGATCTTCACCACAGAATGAGTGGTCTCTGTAAATTTTAGTAAAATATCTACTATTTGAAAAAAAAGTGGGAAAACGTATCAGATGAAACAACTTAGCCTCCAAATGGACATTCGTTTTATTAGAACGGCCTTCAATCGAGTTCTGGATGAGCGCTTCCGAGACACCGTTGAATCGATGAGAGCTGGTGAAATTCCACCGTAAAGACACGAAAAACCCCATCAACTACCGAATGAATGAAAATTTATCTAAAGTTACAACACGGCGATTCTCGAATGGATATATAACATATTTATGTAACAGGCAACATAATGTAGGACCCGATGGAACATCGAGAGTAACCGCTTGACACGATATCTGGTGCTATCCGGACAACAGTTCATTGTCCTACAGTTGGTACCCGAGTTCTAGAGCAGTCAGCAGGTTTCTCGATACTTGTACAGAAACGAAGGCAGACCATAATAGTGTCCTCATTCTGTTTGTCTCTCTTGTTGATTTTGGTTATGTACTTTTCGAGATCATTCTAACCAATGAACTATTGCATCAAGAAGAGGTCAGGTGGACAACACCTTCTGTCGAATACGGAACGTGAATTTTTTTCGTCGGTAATGAACTTCGTTCTTCATGAAACATGAATTTTCAACGAGGACACCCAGTATGACTGAGAACGTAGCAAAGCAATCTTCTTTCGTCATGACCACTAAGATCAAGCTATATGACACTGTGTTCTCCTCTAGCGACCTTTGCTTTCTTGACACTGAAGTTTCAGAAATTCACAACGCTGTGTTCCTTTTCACAAAAATGTTGGATCACTTATCACCCGTTTCTTTGACAGCTGAGTGACTCAAGCGGACGCCATTAAATCTTCCACTTCTCCTTGTATCTTGCAAGAGTAGCCCATTACGTCCTGCTCATCCTAGGAACTCGTTGAGCACCACATCTTTCCTATGGGGCTTTCGTGAAAAACATTGGCTATTGGGGCAGTGGTCTTCCTGCAACGCGTTTGACATCCCGAGGAATTCAACCACTAACGGCTGTTGTCTATCGGTTGTCATTCGTACGCATTACGTGTCCGGCCCACGTTATCTTCGACTGTTTGGCGTACAGAGCGACATCTTTGATTTTTGATCGTTGACGCAGATCGGAGCTTCGGATCCCATCCCTTACTTGTGTGGAACGAGATACTCCTAGCATCGTCCTTTCGACTGCGCGTTTATAACGCTGAGTGACCCTCCTTTCTGCTTACGCAGCGACCAGGTTTCTGACGTATACGTTAGGGCAGGAAGCACCGTTGAGTCGAAAAGGTAGGCATGGAGTCGGGTGTTCTCTGTTTTCTTCACTACATCCTCGATGCTCTTGAGAGCTCCCCAAGTCGCTCGTCTTTTTCTGCTCAGCTCTGGAGCTATGCCGTTCATCATATTGATTTCCCGACCTAGACAGGTACAACTGGAGTATTCGGAGATGTTCGTTCCGCTGAGAGTGAATGGGACACAGAAACCAATCCGCTCCTCATAAACATCGTTATTTTGAGATTTAGTCGAAGACCAATCCTTCCACAGGCTCTATCAAAGTCGGCAAGTACGCGTTCCGCTTGGCTAATGTTTGGTGTTAAAAGGACGATCTCATCAGCAAAGCGAAGGTGGCGTAACTGCCCACCATCGATGTTCTCTCCCATGTCGTCGCATTCCAGTGTTCGCATGACGTACTCGAGCGTGGCGGAAGTAATTTTGGCGAGATGGAGTCGTCTCGCCTATCTAACCCATCTTTTGATCTCGACGTTAATTGTTCGCTGGAGAAATAGTATGTCGCATTCCAGAAGGTGTTATCAGCGAGAGCACATATCCATACCACTTTATTTCATATGAGGGCAGAAAGACATGGCTATCGAAGAGATCCGACTAGTAATCTCGAATGGATTCCTCCACTGTTTTTCTGGAAACTGTAACTATTCCGGCTGGGTGTCGGAGTGCAATCTTCGTTGTTTCGTAATTGGGGAAGTGTACATGGAATTTAAGAATGCCTTTCCCAGCCTCTTCAGCTTCGATATAACTACTGCCCCATTCATTTTTGACATCCTCTTTTATCCCCTCTGCATTGTTTTGCGAGTCCGGACGGTGACTTGGCAGTTCCCTGTAGCTCGTGCGATTTCATGCTGTTCTACCAGCACTAGTGCTTCTGGAAATAGACGTCTCTTAGTGATTTTCAAACTCTCCGCTTTCATAGCTCTAACGTGAAAGTGTTTAATGAGCGGATCATGTTCCTTATCGATGTTACCAGAAATCGGATCTTCTCAACAGCTGACTAATGAACTGAATAAATCCCAGTTACTGGTGGCTTCACTCGTGTTGCTCTTTAAAGAAAAGAAGCTGTGAGTTATGGGAAGAACTATAGACTACACTTGCTCAACAAGAATATAAAGAATTATTTGATCAATGCCGAGGTAATAAAAAGTCGGTCGTGGAAGCTACAGACACAGTTCACAATAACGTATAAATAAGTATATCGACTATTTGTGCCGAGGTTTATAGAAAGTCGGTCTTTTGGCCTTCTGAGTTAACTAGAGAAACGTTTAAACCCACATTCATACAATACAAGAACACACTATCTGAAATGCAGCAGTTGTTAAGATCTGTAGGCTTTACATGTCTACAGTAGCAATGTGACAGATATTAGAAGGGGGCATGTAGCGCAGCAGTCGGAGGCCCCCTGCATTACACATAGGATCGGCCTCGCGCCCGAAGCCCACTAAGTCCTCCATCCCTCCGGGGTTGGCAAATTGGTACCAGCCTTGTCTGGGAGGGTAGTAGCACTGCCTCGATACATCGGTAGGCCTCGGCGAGTCATTGTAAAGTCCAGATATGTATTCAATCACGTCCACCTCCAACGATGCTTAATGAAGCCGAATGCATGGTACAACCGTCAAGGACTGATCAACGCCGAGTGCTTTCTCCTTCTTTCATAAATTAGCAATCATTGCCGTGGAGTTAATAATGAGTAGAACTGGTTTCTAGTGCACAGTTGAATTCTTCTCAACCAGAAGGCTGTTTGTGAAAAAGTATAGTCTGCAGTTTTTTCATCAGCCTTATTTCGTTTTTAAAACTTGTTAGTGACCGAATAATGATGAAGTGTGATGTAGATTTTCACATGGATAACTAAAATTCCCACTTTATTTCATATCTTCAGGCCGAACTGCTTATGGAGTTAAAAATGACGTCGTTGCAATTCAAAAAGAAGTTTTAACTCACGGACCAGTTGAAGTGGCTTTTGAAGTGTACGAAGATTTTCTTCATTACGCTGGAGGAATTTATGTGGTAACTTCAGTTTCATTGACATCACTTTTTTCTATTTATTTCTGCAATCTCACTCCATATACTGTAAGGATCTCACCCTTTTTTCATTCGATTCATCTCCTTGCATCCATCTTCTACAAATCTTCATATTTTCGTGTCGGTTCGGCTGTCACCTAAGAAATTTCTTTTTCTGAGAATGTCGTTGAATGTTAGTCGAGTTGACTCTCCCTGAAATCCTGGAATTGCTCTAATAGATGGTCTCACATCCTCAAAACAAAAATTCTCTGGCTTTTGTTAATCGGAAGGAGCTTTCCTCACACAGGTCTCACCAATTTGCTGAGCAGGAAGAGATGGGAGGCGTTCTTGGCCCGAGGCGAGGTCGAATAAACGACCATGGATATACTGTTGCACGACTTCTCGCTCCCGTTGTTATACTTACATGCAGCATTCAGAATTGACGGCATCAATAGCTTCGGTATCAGCTCATCTTCACTTCTTCAATTTTTAGTTACTTCTACTACCTGATAGTCTGAAGTACCTTCTTTTACAAAGGGCCTATACCAACATAGCACCTTGAATATCTTCCATATAAATGAGTGCTGGAATAGAAGTATTCATCATAAACCGAGTAGTAAGTAAGAAAGAACTCAAAAGTTGGAATTTGTATAAACCTTAGTATTAATGCAAGCATAATGATGCTGAGATATTAGCAAAACACGGAACGCCAGATGAGCTTCGAACTCGTGACTACCTTTTCCGGAGCTAGCACTTTATCCACTGTAGCACCAAGGCCTTTGCTTTGCTTTTCTCTCAGACAGTTCTCTACCCTAAAGGTGCTATAAGCAATTACCCGCCACCGTTAAAACGTTAAAAAATGAGATTTCGACCGCTGCTTCAGCTTAACTGGGCTCAATGCCTATTTGTGCTCACCAGATCGTTTCCGTTGACACGTTGGTGTTGGTATCAGTTAGTGTCGTGATTTGGTGGCTGATGTTTCAGTGCCTTCAATTCCTTTAGAGTCTGGACGTATTTTATGTGACGCTGTCCATATAATTTGGTAGACATGAAGTATTGCTTTTTTCAGCATACTGGTGGAAAACTTGGAGGAGGACATGCAGTGAAACTGATTGGATGGGGAATTGATCAAGGAACACCGTATTGGCTAATTGCGAATAGCTGGAACACGGATTGGGGAGAAGATGGTAACTTCCTTAACAAAATATTGCAACTACATTAGTGAATCGATATAAAGAAAATGACAAAGAGCTTGATGTTAATCTACCTTCTAGATAGATACGCTGCCGTAGTTGTGTTCAGTTCATAAATCCACTAATTAATATGATTAATTAATTAATAATCAATAATAATAATTAATAATTAATTAATTAATTAATATCCACATTGCAGTAATTTTAACGACAATTAAAATTAAAATTACGACAATTAAAATAGATAAGTGAGTATAGTACCTTTTGTAGACCTTGAAGATTCGTACAGCATATGGTTGGTGACCAAACTGAAGATCGTATACACGGATGACGCTCTATCTCTTTACGCACCACATAACCATTAACTATCTTTTTTTAAAAGATAAAGGATAAGACGTTCCGCGTTGACCAATCCTACTGAGATGCAGCACTCAATCCACTCCATTCGTAGAATTGCATAGATGATTGCAGTCAAATTTTGTTTGTACAATGATGATCCGTCAAACGAATGCTTTATGTTCCAAAATAGATCTGATACCAATTTGTTAAATGCGGCGGATATAGGGGCTTGACAAGCTCACGGAATCCCCAACTATATTTATACGTTAAGGTGCTTCTGGCCACTGCGTTACTTACACACTGCCCTAAGAAGAATACAAAACATTGCTCATTTAGATACTTGGATGGCCTGTTTTCACTGGCTGTGCAGACCAGAGCATAATTTCCATTCTCCGGAGATTTGCTGGTTTAGCCATCGTAGTTCCTGGAATGTCCTCACCACCACAGGCAGTGACCGCCTTTGTGGATTACAGAGAGATTTGCCACCATGCGACTAGTTTGAGACCAAGATGGCGGTAGATCCCGGTATTGGTTTACTCTTAGCTGGACTTCCTGATGAAAACACCTGACTCCTCAGCTTGGGAGACTCTACCGAGGGTGGTGAAACCTACGCTGTTCATCGCGGCCCAAGACCCAGGAACACCTCCCAACCACAATGAGGCGTGAAACCGTTGGAAGGATGCAAAACATTACAGTTTGAAATGTTGTTTCATGTACTTTATCTCGTTCATGAGTAAAAAGTCCCGTTTAAGGATTTTTCCGTATCCTACGAGGTGTCGATGAGTGTGGCATCGAATCCGGTGTTGTGGGTGGTGTACCGAAGTTAACCAATATTCAGCGCAGGTGCAACTTAATTACCAATATTTTACATAATTCAGTAATTTTGAACAGTCGGTTATTTTATTGTTACAGGGGTTATATCGAAAATTATGCATGGGAAGACGACGACTTTTGAATTTTATATGTTATCTACGTTCTCCATTTCATTGTCTGTCTATAGTATTCCGTTATTAAACACATCCTTTCTCTATTGTGAATGAAGTGATTTTTCTGTAGAACACAAATGTTCTCTTATGAAGATTGCCAAGATCTCTTCGCCGTATCGTCTCATTAGCTTTTTGTTCTCTGAGCAAACTTCATTTTCACATAACATTTGGAGAACGAAGCACCGGTCCTTTGGTAAAGGAAAACATCGGCTTCGATTTCAGAGAAATTTATGGTAACGAACAGAGAAGCTCGTTCTGGATTTAATACCTGTGAAATTTCTACCAAAAAAATTACATTTATTTGGGGGATAGCACAGTGGTAGTGATGTCCGTCATACGAGCGCAGTGCTAGTTCGATTCCGCTCGGGGCCAACCAAGCCTCTCATCCTTCCGGGGCCAGGAAATTGGTACCGGGTTTCTACGGGAAAAAATCGCTCACTGCAGTCCAATTGGGAACGCTCCAGCCCGGCTATCTCAGGACTCCAGGGAGAATTGCTCGACCAGAATTCTACGACATTCAAGATGAAATGAAAATCCTCAAGCAGCAACAGAAGCCACATGTAAAAACTTGGAAGACCTTTATGGACGATGGATGCGATGAAACGAACTGTATATGAGAAGTGCTGGGATCCGCACAGTGGACGTGAAGACGGATTAAATAAAATAAAATGAAATAAAATAAAATAAAGCAAAAATTTACATTAAGGTCAATGAGAAGTTACATTCACGAATGACTGGGATATGAAAATGTACTTATAAAAGCAGTAATGGACATTGCACTGGAAAAGGGTGAAGAGATTTCGTGGAGATCTGTATAGTCAGGAACATACTTAGCAGAAAAAGACGAAGCAAATTAATGGTGTTACCTCGGTTTTGTGAGTATTCTATCCAACATTGGTTAAAAATAAGCATTGGCTTACAAAAGAAAGTATGTAGATAATACAATGTTTGGCGATCAACTCTACGCAGAAGAAATTTCGTTCATTTCATGTGACCATATGGAAGTGATAACGGAGAAGTTCTTTTCGAATCTTTTTCGCCCAACAAAACCCGTGCGAGACGTGCCGAAATCCTGTTGAAAAAAAATCAACTTGAATCCTTTCTTCCGCGATTGCAATCAAGAACGTGAAGGTAATTACCATCTCCAAGATTGGATAGCTACATGTCCTTTTTACAAAACAAATGACAACTTATCAACGCATATACACCTAGACTTTGTATGAAGCTGAACTAGATCACACCAATGCTGCTGTATAAACCACATCCAAACCCTAGGATTATGGAAGTCTGACAACAGTACAACCTGTCCTTCTTACTAACCCTTATGAACTTCAAAGAAAAAAAAGTATGTTCAACATCGTTGCAACGAATGCCATTCCATTAGCTGTGCTTGACGGTTTGTCTATGCCTTAACTAAGAAGTCGGCTTGATTTGTCTCACAATTACGCCAAGAACACAGTTTTTCTATCGATCGTCGACGTTTTAACATACCCACAAAGATGGGTCTAACAGGGCGACGGACAGTCGCTCTACTGGGGTGAAAAGGGCATCCAGAATAACAATAAGCTTCTTCGAAACCATGCCGTCACGTTCCTGAGAGGTGTACCATTGGAGCATAGAAGCTTAATTAAGCTGAGGAGGATAAAGGACAGGACAGCACATGAATGGGAATAAAATCTACTTCATGAGATACCTATAGTGCGATGGGAAACAAATCGAGTTGGATGGTTTTCCGCGCATAAAACCACATCTAGGATGCAATTAGGATTTCAAATCATCACTGCTTACTTGCATAATTTGATGGCCCATCCTCACAGGTTGCGCGGGCTCCAGCATAATCTCCATTTTTTCGAAGTTTTCCTGGTTTAGCCATTGTGGCTCCCTGAGGTCAGCCAGACCAAAGTCTACCACAGGTCGTCACCAACACAGACACTTGCCATCTTTGTGGATCAGAGCGAGATTTGCAACTATGCGGCTAGTTTGATACCAGGACGGTGGTGCATCCTGGTATTGGTTTACTTTTAGCTCGGCTTTCTGATGGAAACGCCGAACTCAGCTTGGGAATCTCTGCCGGAGGATGGATCCCCAAGCTGTACGTCGCCGTCCGACACCCAGAAATACCGCCCAGTCGCGATGAGGCGATAAACCGTTAGGAACGATTTATAATTACTGCAATGACGACGAAAATGTGTGGCAGAAGAGTAGCATGACCCACATTCGGTTTTACTGAAAAGCCCAACAAGAAACAAGAACTGGTTGAAATCCAATCCCACGCTCGTATTTTTGATTCAATAATTCTCCCAATGATTTGATATCCAACTGAAGCCTGGCTTAATATCTAAACCAACTTTCCACCTCCCAGTTACACAGCACTTGAACAACGCTTTCGGCACTATAATCAACCAACAAAATATCATACCGAGCTATGCAGTTCCTTTGAAGTGTTCCATTCACGAGATTCATGGGAATACTCATCAAGAACGGAATATCAGCTTCGTGATAATCAGAGTTAACGATAGGTGCATGGGAAGACGGACAGACTAAAAAAACTACCAAGAATAAAGGATAAAGCTCTCATCGTTGATAATCTCTGAGGAATAAGCCATATCTTCTTCATTGAAAATCGTTGGAGGTAACTGAATGCATATCTGGTCACTAAAATGATTAGCGGCGGTCTTCTGATGTATCGGGTCACTGCTGCTATCCTCCCAGAGAAGTCTGGTACCAAATTTGCCGACCCCGGCTGGATGAAAGGGATCGGTGGGTCTGGGATCGATCCCACATGTATGTGCGCCCATGACTATAAACGAACAAAACTCAATGAATCAGCAATTTCATTGTAACGCACAAGTGAGTAACAGCATAAATAAATAACGAGATTACACGTAGAAATCAATTAGTGCATGAAGTAAATTGAGTAACGAGATAACGAAATTCCTGTTACAGGATGCTCCTGAGTGATCAGTCTAATACTACCGTCTCAAGGTGCACTGACCCTGCTCCGAGATAAGTCCATGTAGTATATCACACTATTATACACAATCTGAGTTGGTGAACTATTCAGAGGCTTCAACATCGTCACCAAATAAAAAACAAATGCTCTGGCCCTCCGATAATTTCAAAGCTAACAAACTGCTTCTTCCACATGGAATGAAGCACACACAAAGTTAAAACGATAGAATGAGATGAGGTGTGTCAGAACTTTGGGCACTCAAATACCGGGATAAGGGCTCGATTACGAATAACGACAATCTGTACTAAAAATAAGTATTGCCAAAACACATATATGAACAATAAGAAATCCTAACATAAAACAACTAAGCAAAGAGGCTCGTGTAGCCAACTCAAGAGAGAAGAAGGGCAAAGAGAACGAGAGCCACATCAAATTCCTGGAATTTTTGATTCGAGACCGTGTCGAGCCCATATTTACGCGCCACAAAAAGCTCCACATGAATCTATTGCAATTTCATCACAATGGCGATGGTCACAGACCATTCGATACTTAATGGACATTTTACACGCTTATAATATTACAGATGAAAGAAAAACGCAGATAGAGAGGACACTGAAATCTCGGGAGAACAAAATCAACAATGTAAAACTCGTCAGTGAGGCGAGAAAAGAGCACATGTGATCTAATAACAATTTTAAAAAAATTCAATGACTAGAAAGCATCAAACGATCCTTTAAACGAAGATACGATCGCTCGACTGAAATGATTACTCAATCCGCTCTTTCATTCATTCAGTGTACTCCTCTTCACCGGGTTCCTCATCATCATGCTCCAGGTGTAGGCCTGCTTCTTCGTCGAGGACGAGTTTTGGTTCAGAGGCTGAATCGTCGTCATAATCAGCACCGTCATCATCGTCAACATCATCGCTTGGTTCATCATCTAATCCAGCTATGATTGACGACGCGTTTGCACCCATATGTTGTTTCCTTAAAATAATGATATAGAAATATTCTTAGCAAAGAAATAGCAGTGTAATTTCGACCGATTCAAGTTTAATTTGCATGCTAATACATATTATTCATCTCCACAACTGTGGTAATAAAGGATAAAAAAGGATAAAGCTCTCGGCGTTGATCAATTCCTGAAGGATTCGCCATGCCTTCGACTTCATTAAGCATCGTTTGGAGGTTATTGAATGCATATCTGGCCTCTACAATGACTCGTGGTGGTCTACCGATGTATCGAGCCTCTGCTCTCCTCCCGAGCAAGTCTGATACTAATTTGCCGACCCCGGAGGTATTGAAGGCTTGGTAGGACATGGACGCAGGGATCGATTCCATGTGTGTATTGCCTCCGATCACTGCGCTACACGCGCCTCCTAACTGTAGTAATGTTCTACAAAATTTGCACAACTTAAGAAGATATAAAACATACAACTTCTCGATATCCTGTTGTGTTGGAATCGGTGCATCAACAAAATAAGCTGGGTAACATTCCCGAATCATCGCCTTGATATCCCTGGCATGTTTCAATCTATTGTCGACCGGTCGATCATCTGTCTCATGGATCTCTCTAATGTGCCGGATTACTAGTTCGCGAGATTGATGACCCTAGAATAAAAAAGCGACGTATTATCAATCAATTACAAGCTGCTTTTCAAACATATTGGTTGGAGCTAACAAATGAAAAGAATTACGCATCCGATCACAAATTTCTTCAGGGCTTAATTACGTCATCTTAACATTGCAATGAAATTATACCCAAACGGAAAAAAAGCATTGAGAAGGAATAACTGCTGTCATATAACTAGAGAACAATATCTACATAAAGTTCCTTTCTATCTACAAACAACTGTTGATTAAAAAAAAGAAGCTGGAAGGAAATACTACCCAATAAGCAGATGACAGTAACTATACTTAGGAAAGAATTCCACTCGTGTATGTGAACGTGTCCTAATACTAGAACAGGATAATGAACCTAACATTATTTTCAGATGTACTTCCCATAAGCAATGTTGAAAAACAATAATCTGTCTGGAAACGAACCAAGTCACAATGTGGACATAAGAATAAATGCTCCTCCATATGGGTGTATGCATGTTCACTCATACGAGAATTCGTGATCTTTCCGCATTTCTAAAGAAAGAAGATTAGAATATCGCCTTATTTGAGCAGAGCACGAAAATTAAACATCGAATTTCTGGTACATTCAGCATGACTTAAAACATAAAGAATAGAGCACCAGCGTTGATCTATCCCTAAAGGATGTGCCAAGCATTCGAATTCATTAAGCATCGTAGTAAGGACTGAATGCATATCTGGTCTTGACAATGACTCGCGGTGGCCTACCGATACATCTACCCAGTGATGCTATCCTCCCAGACAAGTCGGGTACCAATTTGCGGACCTGGGAGAAATGGAGCACTTTGTGGGCCTTGGGCGCGGGAATCAATCTTGTGTGCAATGCAGGGCGCCTCCGAGCACTGCATTACACGCGCCCTTTCACCATGACTTACCTAGCTAAAAGACGGAAGAGAAAACTCGAAAACACACCTCGCAATGAGCTGCTTCAGATAATTTCTTTTTGAAATACTGTGCTCCTCCAAGAAGCATGCTGATCTCACGTAATCGCGCCATTTCTGTGCGTTTACTCTTCGATTTCGGCCTACGCAGTCCAAATCTAGGAAAACGACTTTGCCGCTTGCGAATCCGAGTTTTCACCGAAACATTCAGGTCTCGCTCCTAAAACAGATTCTACAAAATTAGCAATTCGATCTGACTATTAGCTTCTCGAAAACGACATAAATTTCTACATCTTTTTTTCGGATACTAAATATATCGCATCCGCTAACAGTTAGTCTAGTGATGGATCCTAAGTAAACCGCTACGGTCCTTCGTTATCCTCATTCTAGCAAAATTTTGTGAACCACCTTTACGTCTTCTTTACCTATCAAATTTATTTCAGCAACAATTTTTTTTCAAATTATGAAAGTACATATTTTTCAACCACTTAAAGTCAACATCCGTACAGAAAATGGATGCTTTTCCTCGAGAGATCTGATGTCCACTGGGTGAAGTCTACTCAGATTTTGGCTAATACAGTTCACTGAGGATTCGAAGAAAAATCATGACGCTTTAGAATTAAATATGTAGGTGAGGATAAAAGACCACATCTTCAAGGCCGAAACCGAACATATATACGAACCCGAGTGCGTCTCTGGACAACGTCTGAAGATTGGTAAACAACGAAAAATTGGAAGAGCTCCCAGGAACAACCTTCTATCAATGAAAAGCTATTGGTGAAAGATGCTCCAACTGACCAGGATTACCAGTGGACGCCGTTTGTGACAGACGTCTTCGCTCGAAAGAAAATCCCAAAAACAAATGGAAGAATTACAGATACTGCACATATATTGGAAGGGTCATCTACTTAGGTAGGCGTTGACAAGCCGCTTACAACGAAGGAATACTTTAGAGCTCGGAAAAGACGAAAATAACACGGCACAAAGTCCGGACCAAAGACTAAACGCCCAGTTACAAGGCCCTAGAGCGTCTCGAGGCGATTATAAAAATGAATGAAAGCTACGTGGAGTTGAGCGCTAACCATGACAACAAACACTCGAGCTCGTTTGGGAGACTTCTATGCAGAAGACAAATATCAGCAAACAGTCAAACCCGATCTGCATCGATGTTCGCGTCAATTCACCTTTCGCCTGACAACAGTTCCCACAAAAACATTCGAAAGCGGAAAAATCGAACTTGCATTTGACGGTGGTTGCTCCACTTACCTAACGTATTGTCTACTCACAGTAACCAGGAAACGCGACAAGCAGAGCACCGGTTTTTGTCGGCGTTGTGGAGAAACTAGTTCTGACTCCCGTGACCCTGAGGATTTCCGCACTCTGCGGGTTCAATTGCAACAATTAGTATCACATCCCTCACCCAATTCTGTTTTCGGACATATTCGAAGTAGACGGTCAAGCGAATTCGATGTTTTTCCACTGTGCTATTCGCACACACCAAAACCATTTTATAACTTTAGACATAAAAACCAAGTAAAACATTTTAGAACGGAGTCAACAAACACAAATCCGTTCTGGAAAGGAAAAATAGATTTCTTCCAAATTGGTGCATTTGCTTTGCACCAACCCTATGTAAATCACACCATCAGATTTCAGGTAGACAAGATCCTAGACAAAAACTTCCTAAGCACAGACTTGTCATCGCCTAAATTTGAGTACACCAATCCACAACTATCTCGTGAATATAACAAAGGATAAGGCAGTCATAACAAAAACAGCGAAGAAGACGCCAATTTATCTCTGGAGGTTCAACTCTTATTATAAACATAATTTGAAGGTAGAAGCTATCCCAAGAAAAATCAACAACGCCGCTAATTCTTACCTAATCTTAGGACTTATTATATCCGATTTTCACCCTTCATTTTCCAAAACATCTCTGATCTCTGGCCAGTAACAAATCGATCCTACATACTTAAAAAGCACAACACACTTAAATCCAACAAAGACTGCCAAGCTTCTACTACAGCTCATCAAAAAACACTACACCCTAGAAATTATGCCATGGCGATCTACAAAGCTGGTAGGTACGGTATTATATCTCTTTTCTCAAGTCCTTTTCTTGCAAACCTTAACACCTGGAACAACCAAAGTGATATTTCATTTAATAGAACGACCCAGTGTTAGATGGTGTTAGCAAGTACCCGTCTAGTAGCTGTCACCGAATGCGCTATAACCCAAGATGGGAGTAAACTCATGTCAGAAATCATCGCCGTTCTGGTACCAACTTATTGTGAAATTGGAGAATCTCTTTCCATCCACAACGGCCAGTGACCAATGATAGTGGCAACCTGTAGAAACCCTCGAAAAGCTATAGCAAGACTCCAAGATTAAGATCTTGCTCGACGGAGAAATTCCTAGGCCAATGGAAACTGTCGCAAATGTGTTAGTTATTAAACCGAAAATACTCGAAAACAAAGATTTGTGTCGTTTTCTTGTTCAGAAATCGTGAGGTTTTTAAACAGCATACATTTACTTCCATAGAAAAACATAATACAATACGACGCTAGCTGACGTTTCGGCAGTATCGCCTTCTTCAGCTCATTCCAGCTCACCTCACAAACACCCAAATGTTCCTAGAACGTCTACGTAACGCGTCTCCTAATAACGCGTACGTGATGGAGTCTTTCGACGTTACCGCACTGTACACCAACGTGTCGAATGACTCCGCAATACAAGCCATCTTCGAACTTCTTGTTGAACATGAAGGAAGAATAAACATGCATAGTTTCTCCATCCAGCAGCTTATGGCACTCTTAAAGGAGTGCTTAACTGCTCGATTTTCAGATGGTCTGGGAAATATTTCGCGCAAATAAGGGGGTTGACAATGAGACAGCGACTGCTACCAAGCCTTGCCATTGTGTTTATGTCTAAGATAGAAGCCCCTGTTCTCGATCTCCGGCCACTACTCTACTGCAGATATGTAGATGAATGTTTTGTCATCTTCTCTGCGCAGGAGGTGATGGACAAATGATTTGAATTATTGAACGAGCAGTCTGAGAACATAAAGTTCACCCGGAGAAACCGAGAGAAAACTGGCTTCCGTTTTTGGACGTTCAAATAAACCTATCAAGTAGGTTACCTGACAAAGTGGTATCGAAAGCCAAGTAACAAGAACATCCTTGTCCATTTCCTTTCTTCGCACCCTTCACACACAAAGAGGGCGATTGTGAGAAACATGTTTCGAACAGCCACCTCTGCGTGCACTACCAGGGAACTAAAGGAAGAGTCGCGCGACTTGGCTCGGCAAATAGCCATCTCCAATAGTAATCCCACGAGATAAGTTTGCAAGGAGAACGACGCGCCCACGCGAAACACTTGGCCAAAAGAAAATCCCGTTTATGGTGCCTTTTATAAGCGACGAAGTAAGCGTAGCTATAAAACGATGCTTAAGAAGGGCAGGTCTAGAGGAATCGGTAGCGAAATACCACCGACTACTCTACGTCGCCAATTAGTTTGCAACCGCCTATATGACCGTCTGTGTGAAACAACAAATTGCGTAATTTGCCCTTACGGCAGGGACGGTGATTGCATGAGTTCAGGTACGATATATCTGATCTCGTGTAACAATTGCGGAGATGAATATATTGGCGAAACGGGCAGACCTTTGTGTATCCGTATAAAAGAACACCTAGATGGCAAACGAAAATCGAAACAAGGCACGCCACTAGGCACGCATAGGATACAAAAGCATAGCGGAGACGATTTTGAAGTAAAAGTCAATATCCTTGCACAGGAGTCCAAAACACCAGCGCGAAAACTCCTAGAGGCTTTTTGGATCAATGCCAAAAACCCTACAATGAATAGCAGGGACGAATGCCCGGAGGTCATACGCGACCTGATCCCGTATGTTCGCATCGATTTTTGATGTGGGATGGTGCAGTCGTCAACCACATGCGACTATAATCAGCTGTTCTAAGCTTCCTCATTGGAAGTCACGAAAAAGCGGTGGGCTTTTCGAGAAGTTGTTGATTATGTAATTACCGGAGAGTTCTTCGTCTTCTTGTAAGTGTTATTGAAGCGTTTGGCCTAGTAGATTGTATATCAGCAAGCCCTTCCAAGTTCTGAAGAAGGCGATACTGCCGGAACGTCAGCTAGCGTTGTATTGTATTGTGTTTCTCTATGGAAGTAAATGTATGCTGTTTAAAAACCTCGCGATTGCTGAACAAGAAAACAACACATTCATATTCCAATGCCAAGGTTAATAGAAAGTCGATCCTGGGAACAAAAACTTGTTTTCGATGGTGATCTTAACATATACAGCAGCCTGCAAAATTTATCGTAATTTAGGATGGAACTTATCCTCTATAGGGAGCAAACGCTTAGTGCGTCCAAACCCTTTGATGAAACTGGAACCATAATGACTATAGAAGTCAAGCAATATGACAAAGTGCATAAAAAAGGATAGAGCTCTCGGCGTTGATCCATGCATTTGACTTCATTAAGCATCGTTTAAGGTGATTGAATGCATATCTAACCTTTACAATGGACTCGCTGTTACCTACCGATGCATCGAGTCAGTGCTCCTATCCTCCAGGGAAAGGAATGAAGGGCTTGATGGGCCTAGAGCGCTAGGTTCGATCCCATGTGTATTGAAAGGCACTTCCAACCACGGCGCTACATGCGGACAAAATGCACGGGCGAGTATATTTGTAATTCCATGAACGCACCTACGAGCTTTATCAAATACAAAAAAATGGTGAATAATTTATGAAACCCAAAAGGATAAGTGAATTGCAACGTTAACCTTATTATTTACCGCATACTAAAATTTTCACGGCATAGTATTATGCAAAATACAACCACAATGGTGCTGAGATATTTGCAAAACTCCGAACCGTAGGTGTCTGCGGTGGGGATCCAACACGTTATTACCCTTTCCGGGAGCTAACGCGCTCATCACCACACCACGCACGTCTTGCCTTTCTCTCAGCTTACCTATGCTCTATGTTCTACAAGTGAATTAGTTAATCTAGAAGCAGGGAAATAACAAACTGCCAAGGTGCAGTCACACGACTCCTTAATCAAGTGCACATGACACCAGTAAAGTAAAAAGTCTAAGGAAACAAATCGATAACAATCCGACCTCCTCCTCGTCTTCATAGGGCTCCTGCTCGTCATCGGGTTCATGCTCAAGTGCCGCTTCAAAGTCGTCTAAGTCACCCTAGAATAATATGACTGGACCTCATCTAAACTCTCTTAATTGACCATATAAGCACTACCTGTTCATTTTGATAAAAATCTAACGTCAAATCATCTACAACATCGTCGTCATCTGACGACTTCTTCGACTTCTGAAATCACGGAAGCAAATATCCAAAAAGTGGTAATTGTAGAAAATGTGACGTTAGAAATCACTGCACTCAATATGGTTAAAATTTCGTTGTTAACTTCATAAATGCGAAAACTTACGAAGGGCATAGCGGATGCAATTTTGCTTCTACGTTTATTCTCCTGAGCAAATAGGGCTTGAAAGCCAAAGCATCGCTCCGACATTTGTTTAACCTCATCAGAGTACTCCTAAACAATACATAGTTCATTGGAATTCAGAAGAGAACAACGTCAGCGACGATGTAGTACGTTAATCAAACTTTATAGATTTCGTAATTTATCTCACAGATTCTGAGCTGCACAAGCAAATATCGACAAATATAGTGAAAAAAGTGATATCTATACATATTTTACATAAAACTTTACACTGAAACCTATTAACACATTCGCGATGACGCTATTTTCTCAACAACACGAGTTAATTTCTCTATTAATAAAATGGATTAAGCTCTCGACGCTGATCAGCAGCCAGTGCTGCTATTTTCCCAGACAAGTCTGTTACCAATTTCCCGACCCCGGAGGGATGAAGGGCGTGGTGAGCCTGAGGCAACTGCTGGGCGCCTTCGACCACTACGCCAAACGTGCCCTTTCTCTCCACTAATAAATTTCACTAATAAAGTAATTGAGGATCTGAGGACTTTACAGACTTATGGAACAGACTTCTTCTATGTTCTTTTATAGAATGTTCATGGAATTTTACATTTGTTTAGAGCCAAACTTCTCAAAAAGCTAAATATGAAAGCAAGACTTTTGAAATTTCCCACATAAGCGCGCCAGCTAAAAAGGTAACGAAAAATTGGGAGAAAGAACATCGTGTCCAACCTGTTGGAAGAAATCCCATTTGTTCGATTGCCTTCTTGTTCAAAAGACAACCATTCACACACACATAATCACACAAGAAGAAAAAAAATGAAAAAGATACGTTTCGCGGGTACTAGAGAGTTAGAATTTAATCACAGGAAAACAACAAAACTTGTTCGTTGTAGGCAAAGATCTGCACAATCGAGTTATCTTTATTATAATTAATAAAGTCCATTCAAAGATGAAAGTGGCCATTATTTTCACACCATATGACTCCATATAAGGTCACGTCGTCGCGAATGTGTTAGAATCAGAAATCGGCATACCCCAATTCGATCCTGAACAACATCTTCGCTTCCATGCTCTTTCTTCCCGTGTACTTGCACAGACTGAGATCGATCGTGTCCAAAACCACACATTCGACAGATGTACCGATTAATTCCCATGTCTTTAGCCATATGCCATAAAATATGGAAACCACGTATCTAAACAAGTAATAAGCAACATGGACTGCTTAGCGGGACCATCGTGGTTAAATTTGGCTCTGGACACATCAACGCTCAAATTATGTGCGATACCAACCAGTGTAAAACATCAATCATTACAAATTATCATTACAATATTTCATGACAATACTTCTTGTAAACAAATCAAGTTCTTACTAAACGAATAGAGCACATCTTACCCTATTCTGCATAGTCTTATGACAAAGGCGACACTCTAAAGGGTGTTCTTCGTCAGGAACCCCTCGAGGAATCACTGTAGTGATAGCAGAAGGTTTCGGAGTAGGTGCAGGAGCATTTTTGTTATTCTAAATTTTAATAGTGAACTTGTAAGCATACTACACACCGATGATTCCCAAATTTTCAATTCACTGCATACGTTCGCTCTATATCAAATTTAATAACAACGAACACTACTTCCCACAATTTCCGGAAAATACGCTTAACACATTCGCGACGACGCTCCATTATATGCCGAGTGCGGTACGAATTGAAATCAACTCATAACAACTACAGTGTCCCGGAAAATGATGGCCACTCCACTTCCGCTGTGTTTTTCCTCCGGGGCTGTTGGTTCCGGGGTGGACTGAGGTGCTGTTCTATTTTCCACATATGAGAACTGGTTTACCAAATAGATTTTTCTAGTAGAACTTTTAAGTAATAAAAGCTCATGATAATAAGAATTTAAAACTGGTCCTACAGACAAACTGTGTAGAATCAAATTGATGAATGTACACTATGTGAACTTTGAACAGTGAATATTTACACTTCAATTACACCTATACACATCTCGCCCAATAGTTTTCCACCCCAATGTAACGAAATAGTGCCACCCAGGTATCGAAATTTAGAGCACAAGTATAGCAGAGCCACCTTTACTATCGTCGTCATCGCCGGCAACAGTGTCTATCGTGGATCTTCTTTTCACCAGTAGCACAGTATCCCACCGTTAACAAACAAACATACACCATAGATTGTTTTTTTAAATATTAAGTGTACAGCACAGTACTTTCCAACAGATTCCTTGTCAAATTCTGCGTTGAATATGCCATCTATCAAATGGTAATAAAAAGTGTTGAATAAAAAATTCTACTTGCCAAAATGAAGCACAGAAAATGAAACGAGTGGAAATCAACACATACCAGCCAACATGTCCCCGATGTATGATTTGATATCAGTTTATGTCGCCGCGAATATGTTGTCAAGTGGTGGAAATGACATACATACCTTCTCCTTATGGGCAGCAATCTGAGCATTGTACGCTGCTTCTGCCTTTGCTGCCGTTGGACCAGGTGTGCTACCATTCTTAGTTCCAATCAGCTCCATTGACAATTCCTACAAAAAACCGTTAAGAAAGAAAAAAAATAATAAAACCACATACTAACAAACCATGTGTTATACCAAAATTACTTCTACGTTAGTAAATCATATATGCAAATTACTACTTGGGGCCATAAACGAATTAAACAGAAACTGGAATCTTTTGCCTTATGGTCCCCTTACCGTGCTCAGGATACTAGCTCTGATTTGAAATGAAAGAAAGGATGACCTTTTTCCGGATTCCTATCGACAATATCGCTCTTCTTTAGAAATTATGAAAAAATCAAATAGCAATGAGAAACGAGCTTTATCTACGTTGAAATACCAGAAGCGATCACTGGTTATAGAATTTTAGACACTTAAGGTCATAACCAACTACCATAGTCTCCTCCCAACGATCTACCGCCTCATCGTTGCTCGGATGTGTTCCTAAGTGTTGGACTGCAATTTAGAGCGGAAAGGTTTGCCCCAACCGCAGGGCCCCCCAAGGCTGAGTAGCCCGACGCCTCCGACGGAAATTCCAGCTAAGAGTAAACCAATACCAGTTCCGCGACCGTCCTGGTATTAATGTTGCATGGTGGCAAATTTCCCTCTGATCCACAAAGGCATCGATTGCCTGTGATGATGGCGACCCGGGACAGACTTTGCCTAGCCTGACCTCGCGACCGTAGGAAACCACAATGGCTAAACCAGCAAAACTCGGGAAAAGTGGAAATTTCGCTAGGGCCTGCACAACTAGTGAGGACGGCCCACCCAAGTATCCAAGTACTGTAATATTCGTCTTGTTAGAAAGATGCGCCATTATTACCTTGCTTACGAATATAAAACAGCCAGTAAGTGACTATATTTGACGTCATTTCAACTAGTAAGACTCTCTATATGCAAACGCTATCTAAGGTTACCTACGCACCTTTTGAGACGAAAACCCCTACACAAGTTTACTACCAAGTTGTAGACAAAAGCGAACGATGACATGATTAGATTGGCGAAAACCTTGGTTCTCGCTGCATTAAGATCTCGCTTAGAAGTACAAAATAAAAGTCAGCGAACAGAGAGCCATCCTGCCGAATAACCTAGAAAAAACGTCCATGAAGGTAAAACAATACTACTTTGTACTCTTTAAGGCACCATACTTTATCCTAGAAAACCTCTTGCGACTAGAAATTTTTCCAGCAAAAAAATTGCCAAAAAAATCAACAATGATTCTCCAGGTAGTAATGACCAAATTTGAGTGGGTTAAATGGTAAAACGCATAGATAAACATTGTTTGCTAAGTATAGCGTATCGTGTTGATGCGAACTACAGCAAGTAAGGATTAGTTCTCGAGCCACACCACTTAAAAAAATCAAACTGAATAATTTCAAAGAGACAACAGAAAGGAACGGACAACACATCGCAGAGCATGCATGCAACAATCTCATGCAGAACAACATATCGTCAAGCGGAAAGTAAAAGAACAATAATTTTCGGCCAAATGTAGCTTGCAGTGGTTAGTAGTGTGGCATTCGAGAACCAACCTGTTGCTGTTGTTGTTGTTGTTGTTGTTGTTGTTGCTGCTGCTGTGGCGGTGGCTTCTGATTTTGGCTTGTGATGCTATCGGAAGCCACTTTTGCGGTCGCCGCCGCTGTTGCTGCTGAACTATTGCTGGCATTTGCCGTTTTATGGGCCAAGAAGAGTTCATGATTCAATTCCTGAAATCACACGACACGACACTTACACTAAAACACATGATGTTACGACAATCGCTCGATTTCACTCTCGGCACTCGCTCAGACCTCACACGTTCAGGAATGGGCTTTGATGGCCAGTGCGGGCTAACCAAAGAGCGAGTTGACATTTCCTAGTCGACCTACTATGTGCTACTATGAATGCAACGAATTGGTGGTGGTGGTGATTTGTGATAAAAACATTTCTACGATTTTCAGTTGAGCTTAGAAGCAACACAACGGTACTAAATGAAGAAATTCAAGGAAATAAGACAGGAATACGTGCTCATGAAGAAATCTGCTTGTAACCAACCACTGTCACGTTCACAAAACTCATGAAAGGAATGAGCAAGAGCTGTGGATACCATGAACAATCACAACACGTGTGGAGTATTTCGTGGAGTTTGAAACGTGCAAAGCGTTTGTGAAGTTACCCATGAACTCGATGGTTATGAAGAAATATCAAGTAGTAATAACGTAGTAATAGTAATAACGCTAACTTGACATCGATGGAAAAGTTCTAACGACCGGTCCTCCATCATTTCCGGATCAATTTTTCCATGTATCTTGGATTGATGATTCTCCATTTGATCCTTACGATAATGCTCCACAGTACATCCCTCGAAAAGGCAACGGAAGCGAAACGTCTGAAAAAGCAGAAAATCCAATTCCTTAAGTCGGACATTACTGTGGGGAATAATTGGTACACAAAATGATAACGGTAGACTAAAATTCCGCTTTGAATAATATTATCAAGAACACTGAATAAAACCCCTCACATCGTCTCATTACGTCTTTCGCCGAAGAAACAAATTCAGAAGTTGAACACGTCTTTATTATTAAGACTTATTCCGGGGAACACATATATGGAGCGTGTAACGCAGTGGTCGGATGCGCTTTGCAATACACATGGATTGATTTCCGCGCCCGTGGCCCACCAAGTCTTCCGTCCTTCCGGGATCTGCAAATTTGTACAAGACTTGTCTGGGAAGATAGCAGCACTGACTCGATGCATTGGTAGGCAATCGCGAGTCATTGTAAAGGCCAGATATGCATTGAGCCACCTTCCAACGATGCTTAATGAGGTCGAATGCATGGCACATCTCTTAAACGATTGATCAACGCCGAGAACTTTATCCTATCATTTTTTATTCCCGGAAGACTTTGTTAAACCTCTTCAATATAAGTCAGACCCTATGGCGAATAATCGACTACTCGTCTTGCTTGAATGGACTTACCCCGTGATCTTTGGCTAAATGGAAGAACATGTGCATTTGACGCGCGCCCGCTGTCACTGGTTTCTGACATTTACTGCACTCTCCCAGTACTCGCTTTTTTGAAATGCTGAAAAAGTATAGCATTATCTGACGACTAAATAACAACTTTAACGAAAACTAGCTGAGAGGGAGAGAAACGAAACGAAGGACGCGCATGGTGTGGTGAAGAACACATCATCCCCCGGAAAGGGTAACAGCGCGTTCTATCCTCACCGCAAACACCCGCCGTCCGGAGTTTTGCAAATATCTCAACACCATACTGTTTAAATAACAACTATGACACTAGAAACATTCTGTTTACTATATAAGTAACAAGGCAAAGTCAAAATTGAATACAAGATTCACGAAGGAATGGAAAAATTCAAGCTATCCTTATACTCACGCGCTACTTAGAGCTTTGGCACTTTGACTCTTCGCTGGTTTCTCAGGGTGCGGGTCAGCACATGGATCTTCAATTCGCCCATCTGAAGCGAACAGTGCCGCAACGTTATCCAAAACCGAACTAAAACAGTAATTAAGAGAACGAAATCCTAGTCCGACAAATTTTGCTGGTAAAAACAAGCAGAATCATACACACAACTAATAAAGAGATCTGAAAACCAGGCATACATTGGATTTAAATTGTCAAGTATACTGTCGTCAATCATAGATCCATCTTCTTGCTCTTGGTCTACTTCAAACTCGGATTTTATACGCTTGTTGTTGAACATTGGAATCAACTCAACATCCTCGGATACTGAAAACACTAAATTGTATCTCTTATGGAGATTACAAAACTCAAACTCACGAAGAAAACTGGATAAAGCTGATACCACTGGGATGCTCGGAAATTAATGTCGGATCTATAATTTCATTTTCTTGTGGATGTTTCAGCAAGGCTTTTCTTTTTGAATGCTTTATTGTTGTATGTCCCTCTGATCCACAAGGGCGGCGACTGCCTATGGTTGTGACGACCTGGTGCAAACTTTGGCCTGGCTGACCTCGAGACTCCAGAGAAACACAATAGCTAGACTAGCGAAACTCCGAAAAATGGAGATTATGCTGGGGCTCGCACAACAAGTGAGGATGAGGACGGGCCGTCCGAGTATCCTAGTAAGAGTATTATTGTATGTAATTGTAAAGCACATTTTATGCACTTTCGCCCCTTATAATTTACCTGAGACATAAATTCTGTTTTCGACGAATTTCAAAGAAAATACGCCACTTCGAGAAGACGAACAACTGTGGACATCGACTCGGATCATCGGCTCTGATGAAGACGAAGACATCGAAACGTTAGCCCAATAAACATGTTTATCAACCTCGCGTAAGCTAATCAAAAAAAAGGATATATATTGACTAGCCAATACCGATGTTAAGGAAAATTCTGTAACCTCTTCTATGAATCCAAAGTCGGACGTACTGCAGAGCAAACGTCTTAAAAAATTAATCAGATTCGGTGCCAAGAGGGTGTTAAAGTGCAATGTTGATTTGGTAAAGTTATGTGGTAGAGAATTCAATCTTGGAGATAAGTGAAGCTGCAGACGACCTTTTGCAGAAAAATTCAGTGTAAGTATCTCAATTGTTTCAGTTTATCCAAAAATAGCTGCGAAGTCAGAGAAGCTCGACAAAAGGATTGTGGTATGATCACCGCCTCGTCCGCACGGCCGAAAAGACCCGTTTCTCGACCGCATACTGAAATGCGGCGAGAAATGAATCCTCTGATAATCGGTGATGATCTTCCATGGTTGGACCACGATTAGGCTGTGCAGCACTAGTTAAAGAAAAAACTGCATCAAGGCTGGTTTAATCCTTCACAGTTTACTGAAATCGAGTGAAGCAACTGGCCGAGAAGTACAACCTACAAGGATGAAATGCACAACTAACTTCAATGGCTGCGTCCCGCACTGGTTAACATAAATGCACCAAGCTTTCTACACGATAATAAGCGGTCAGACGTCGCACTAACAGCGTTGTAAAAGTTGATCGAGTTGGTTTATGAAACGCTGCCTCAACTACCATGCACACCAGATGATTCGCCCACCGATTTCGATTACCACTTCTTCAAGCGTGTCAGCAGATTCTTGTTCGAGAAATGCTTCAGAAACCATTCCGTGGCCGAAAGTGGCCTTTAACAACCTCCTCTCATCGTTGAGAAAAATGTGTAGATTCGAATGGTTTCTACTTTGACCATAAAATTTAGTGGACCGTTGGCGCAGAGACACTTATACTGTCAATCACGAATATGGTGATGCTTCGACGCCACAACGGGTTCATTAAATTTCTCTCCTCTCCGGCTGGGCAAATTGGTATCAGACTTATCTGAAAGCTGTTTACTCTTTGCAGTCAAAGCTCTAGTCCGGCTATCCTAGAAGTTCATGGAGAATCGACTCAACCAGCAATTAACGACATCCATAATGAAGACGACAATCCTAACGGAGCAGCAGAACCCGTCTGATAAAAATTCGAAGACCACTATGGACGACGCATGACAGCAAACGAACTGAATGCAAGAAGTGCTGGAATACGCAAAGTAGATGTGGAAAAAGTTCGCTAAAGAAGGAAAAAAAACAAAATTTATTCCGAACTGAGGCATACCACTTTAATACAGGTTCAAATCCGACATTAATCTCCGTAGCATCTCATCATATAACAGAAATTTCTCGTCATTCCAATGCCACCTCTCCCGTTCCAATAACAGATGAAAACTGACTGTACGGCTAAGTTAAACGTGGAAAAGACCTAAAATGGAAAAAAAATCCATAACTCACCGTCCCCTTCCATTCCTCTAGAATTCGTGGCACGACTAATACTTGCCAGAAGAGCATCAGTGTTTGTATTACCGGTTGACAACGACTCGTCAATGTGCCGTTTTCGAGAACCAGCAGCATTCGTAACCGGGACCTCAGTGGGAGACGTTCGCGACCTTTCTAATGATGGCAATTTCTGCAACAATATGAAACTCTACGATTTAAAAATTAAAGCCAAAAACTAGCAAACCAAAAGCAGAAAGAGCTGAGTGGTTACTACCTTTGAATGAATCTAGTAGTTGTTAGATATTCTTGCTAAGTGGTACTCAAAAACTGAATAAACTGGTAAAAAGAAAGCAGAGAAGATCTAAACACAAAACAGGCTAGAAAAAACTTCTGGTAGTTACATCCCAACTGAATCCAGTCGTAAACTGAGCTCAACATTGGCACAATGTGATATAGCCTCAGCTTAACTGTGTTCAATGCCGATTTGGGCTCATCAGATCAATCCCGTTTACGGGTGATTGCTGATGGCATTGGTAGATAGAAAACTAGCTGACAGAAAGGCGACACTACGGACACGCATGGTGCGGTGGTGAACGCCTTAGCCCCTGGAAAGTGTAACAGCGCGATCGCTCCCCACCGCAGACACCTGCGGTCCGGAGTTTTGCAAATCTCTCAGCACCATTGTGGTTGTACTTTCAAGACTGTTAAAAAAATCGACACAAAACAGAAAGTGATAGAGTGAAAAGTATTACATCGTGAGCTTTCATAGCTGCTGCCAAGTGATTAACGGCAGCAGCAGGTGGTGAGATCGTCGTCGACGACGACATTCGTCCAGTTCCGTGATTCGCACGACGAGACATCGCATGCGATAGTGCACGATCCATCATTATCTGTAGTGAACGCTTCGCCGTCACGTTGTCGACGTAGATGAACTGAAGCGATAGGGTAAATCCGGTGCCGAACAATGACCAAGTAACAGTCAAGAAAAAGTTACGAACTACCATCAAAAGTTACCAACAAAAGAAACCAGGATCTTAGGTTATAGGATAAACTATGAGAATTTACGAGAACAACCGAATAAACAGCAACCTTGTTCATGTTCTTTCGATGCGATGAATGAAGATGCTCCCTCATTTCAGCGTCCGAAGCTCTTTCAGAGAGGCATATTGGGCATTGAAACGGTAACCAGTTCAAATGTTCACGCTTCAAATGCACCTAAATGTGTCACAGTGGTGAGTATCCCACTAAAAAGAAATACCCATATTAATAACACGATGCTCCTACGATTCGTGACTAGGTGTACCTGGGTGACGAGCTGCAATGTACAGCGGGGTCGTTTATGCCTCCAGCACGGTCTTCCAAATTGGAAAGCAGTACGGCGTTTTCATTAGGAAGCCCAGCTAAGAGTAAACCAATACCAGGATCTACCATGGTCCTGGTATCAAACTAGTCGCATGGTGGCAAATCTCACTCTGATCCACAAGGACTACGACTACCTGTGTTGGTGACAACCAGGGGCAGACTGGCTAGGCTAACTTCGGGACTCCAGGAAACCACAATGGATACACCAGCAAAATTCCGAAAAAAAACCGGAAATTATGAAGGGTCCCCACAATCAATGAGGACAGGGCAACCAAGTATCCAAGTAACTGAGTAATAATATGACCAGGTAACGGTAAGGTAATATGTAATAGGAATTTCAGAAATGTAAAAATGATATGAAAGAAGTTGGAGATAGCAAAAAATCCTGTCCTCACCTCCATATCTTCACTATTATTCTTATTGATCCCGCATTCCAAGCACGTTAAATGCATCATCGGTGTGTTGTTCGAGATACTTAGATGATCACCCCAAGTCGACATAAGATCGGTCTGTAAACAAAGCCAGATACTCGATGACATATAAGTACACATAGGTAGTAGGATATATAGTAGTACATGGGCAGAAGCACACAGCAGTACAGAGCAGTACTAAGCAGATGTGTGGCAAAAGCCCACTCCAAAAATGAGAAAAATCAGACGGGAACAAAGCAAAAAATAAAGGATAAAGCGTCCGGAGATGATCATCCCTGGAAGGATGTGTCAGGGATACAACAAAGAATGCACAAGTATAAAATAGAATAATAGAAATATCAAGTAAATCTGATACCAACTAACCGAGTAGTACCCATTTCCAGCCACACCGATCGATGTGCTGCCATTCTGCTTATGTAGTCGAGCAGCGATGTCTTCGATACCGTTTCGAGCACTGCTCGTATGGGTACTACCATTACCACCACCAGCACCCATTAGAAGACGTTGCATAAGCGAGTGTTGGTGATTCTGAAGTTGCTGTTGTCCTGATGAAGACACCACTTCTTGCATAGGCGATGGTGACGAGGGTGGATGCATTCAACACATTCACAATACTGAAATGTAGTAATGAATTGCACTGATTTATCACGAAAATATAATTAGTTTAAACATGTATCTAGCGGTATAAACTAGTCAGATATACGCCAGTAATGTAAATAAATGAAAATCGTCAACTTTAATTGCGCGATGCTATGTTTTTCACGTCCTGGAGCAGACTTTGGCCAGGCTGATCTCGGGACTCCGGGGAATCACAATGGCAAAACCAGCAAAACTCCGAAGAAATGGAAACTATGCTCGAGCCCGCACAAATAATGAAGACGAGCCATTCAAGTATCCAGGTAAGCAAGAGAAAGAAGTTCACGAAGAGATCTGACTACCTATAACCTTTCAAGCCCATGTGATTTGCTCTTCGTCTTTCTTTCAGCTGTGATTTCAAGAATCAATGAAGGAGAGTTAGAAGAATTCCTTGAGAAGAAAACAAGATTTCTGGAGTTATTGTGATCAAGGAAGTTTCAGCAGAATATACAGAATCCTAAAGACATGGTCCCTGAGCTTTGGGTTCACCCACAAACTTGCTACAACTGCTTCTACTGACAACCAGCGACAGTGGCCGGAACGAATCTTCATTGTCTGCCATAAGATTTCTCACATTTCGGAACTTCATGGTAAGGTAATTGAAAGCAGACGAAGAGAAACCACTTTGTATCACAAAGCAAGTGAAAGATACAATAATATAAGAAAATAAAGCTCTAGGCGTTGATCAATCCCTTAGGGTTACACCATGCATTCGACTTCATTAAGCATCGTTGGAGGTGAATGAATGCATATCTGGCCTTTACAGTGAGTTGTGGCGGCCTATCGATGTATTGAGCCAGTGGTGCTATCCTCCCCGACAAGGCTGGTACCAATTTGATGACCCCGGAGGGATGGAGGGCTTGGAGGGCCGCGGGCGTGGCGATTCCATATTGGTGTCGCAGGGCGTCTCTGACCCCTGCGCCACACGCGCCCATCACAATAACATAATACCAAGAAACCAATACCAATACGGAATAACTTAACAAAGGATCCAATCGTTAGGGTACTTCCTACGCTCAGAACAAATGTTTACAGGAAACTTAATGAGTGCTCTACCGCTTAAAATACCTACTAAGTAGTATAAAAATGGTGTTTATTATCATGTTAGATCCTCACATGATACTATAGATGTTTTAGCCAATTATAAGGTTATTGTCAGATTAGATACGTCCAGCTCAGGGTAAGGCGAAATCGCCGAAACGTCAGCCATCGAACAACAGCAACAACAGCGACAGCGACAACGACAACAACAACAACAAAGACAATAACAACAACAACAACAACAGCGACAACGACAACAACAACAACAACAACAACAACAACAACAACAACGACAACAACAACGACAATAACAACAACGACAACAACGACAAACAACAACAACAACGACAACAACAACAACAACGACAATAACAACAACAACAACAACGACGACAACAACAACGACAATAACAACAACGACAACAACGACAAACAACAACAACAACAACAACAACAACAACGACAAACAACAACAACAACGACAACAACAACAACAACAACAACAACAACAACAACAACAACAACAACAACAACAACAACAGCAACAACAACATCAACAACGAAGAGGTTCACAAGAACATACAGACCAATATATCGATTATTTTTACCGAGGTTTATAGAAAGTCGGTCTTTTGAGTTATCTACTAAGTAATTTATCTCTCTGGCTAAATAGTAAACCGTCCAGTTAGTGGCATTTTACAAAGAAAAAGAAAAAACCTAAGCATAAGCACATTCGAGATAAGAACCTGTGTTTGTGCCCTCGCGTTAAACTGATTGAAGAACATTGAGAAGGTGGTATAGGTGGTATAGCTCAGGTTTAAAAGAATATTATAGATGAAGTCGAATGTCAAGTATTTGAACATCAAGGGATACTAAAACACACCTACGTATGGATGGCTGGAAGCTACGAACTATTATTGTTATTATTGTTATTAATGAAGCTAAAGGAAGTGGGTCACACGATTTTAGTGATGCCGATGATCACGAGCACGGCGCTTGTTCGATCCCATTCCGCGTACACCAAGTCTCTCATTTCTTCGTGGTCGGGAACTTGGACCGAACTTATCCGGGAACAGATCACTCTCTGAAATCCAAGTGGGAACGCACCACCCGGCTCTGTCAGTACTCTAGGGAGAATCAACTCGACCATTCCACGGCATTGATGATGAAAGGAAAATCCTCAAACAGCAGCCGAAGCCACATGTAAAACCCGGAAGACTTTCGTGGATGATGGATGCGATGAAACGAATCAAATGTGAGCAATGTTGGGATGCGCACAGTAGACGTGAAGACGGGTCGTGCAAAAAGTTAGGCAAAAGAGATCACCAATATAGAATGACATTCAAGAGGTATATTAACAAGCAGACGAAGGGTGGTGCAGTAGTAAGAGGTGCGCTGCAATACACACGTGATCGTTGGTTCAATCCAGCACCCTGGCTCTTCAAGCCCTCCATCCTTCTGAGGTTAGCACCGACTGAATACATCGGCATGCCAATGCAAACCTTGTATCGGCCATTCAATCGCTTCCAACCATGTTGAATGTATGGTGTACCTCTCTGGGAATGATCCACGCCTAACGTTTTATTCTTTTGTCCGTTTTATGAGTACCTACGCCAAAAAACCTCGATCCAGAATTCATCAGCAACGTCATTCCAATGGTGTTCAGATCCACTGGTATGACTCCTAACATCAGACTGTACAAACAAGCGGAATGGTGACGATAGAGATGAGAATATTCCTCGACAAGATAACCGGTCCTCGCTACCTTATCGACCACAATGCTGCATACTCAGCCGGATTCCGAAAGCTCTGTCGGCCAACTGACTGGAAGCGAAATCGCTCGAACTGTTACCTTTCTTCTTCCTAGCAAAAGAGGAACCTCATATATTAAACAGTTAGTTCGGAAAACTGTCAAACTAAAATGCAGACAAGCATGAAAAGAAGTCTCCAACACTAAAACCAACAACTCTACGACAGCTTCGTTCCCTTTTTCTTTTTCAGCGATAAAATCGTCGCAATTCGTTGTTCATCGGCCAACTAAACTGGGCTGATTTGCATTACATGAATTCGAACAGACAGTGATGATCAGTCCCGAATCGACAAGTCCCGAATAAAGTCGACAAGTACATTATGATGGGGAGACGTGGAGTGGAGCGGATGGGAGAATTGCAGTCGGCGGAGGAGTGTAGCGCCGGTCGGCGACGATGCTGAATAGACGAATGCAGAGAACGTCAGCAGTGTCGGAGGAAACAAGTTCCACTGACGATCGCACACCACTCCACGGCGATGATGACGACGATTCCACGAACGAAGATGTGCATCTATCATACACCACTCTCTCACCAAAGACTCTCAGCAAAAAAGGTCAAAAGTTACCAGCCCAGTTTCATCATGGGGACTCGAGCTATTTGGCCCGTTATCCATCTGAAGAAAGCATGACCTACGCTGATAATTGTTCGCCCAGGATGAGGAGTAAAGTGTGCATTCCCACAACGCCCTCTCACAACAAAAAAGGCCAAAGGTCATCAGCCCAGCTTCATCATGGCGAGTCGAGCCGTGCGTTGTCTGAACAGAGCATGATGCACGTCGATAGTTATTCGTCCAGGATGAGAACTCAAGTAGTCATGATCCGGAATTAGGTACACTGTAGCACATATGGTCCTATTCTCGACTATGATTTCACATCAAACTTGTATTTACCTTACGAAGATAGGTGAACGAATACACTATCTCATAGTCGTGGTCACCGAAAAACGTTCTCTCAAAGCACTTCTGTCGTACAGGACTCCAAACGACGACAAAATCGAGTAAACACAATCATTCAAAAGTTTCTCGCACTTGACATTAAATGAGGATCCTCTTGAAGGAAACTGCAAGACAAACCCTCATGTCCCATTCTTCCTTACGGTATTTGGAGATTTTTTTTTGCGTTGCAAATAACTATAAATAACACTGCACGGTAGGTTTTTCCACTTCTTCAACGACTTTAGTGAAGTGGATCTTGAATTCCTATAGTAAAAGAAAACGATCCAGCCTAAAATGCCTAAAACATGTCATGTCATGTCATGTCTAACCTAAAATCTGACATAAAATCATGACCATAAGGATTTAACGTAAAACCTAAGACCTAAGGATCTAGAAGGACCGTGATTAGAAGTCGATTTATCGCGGATTGGTAGACCTTTCTAATCGAAGATTCAGATGACAAGATCCTAGCCACAATGATGTTGAAATATTTGCAGAACTCCGGACCGTTGGTGTCTGCGGTGAGGAACGAACACGCTATTACCCTTTCCGGTGGCTAACGCGTTCACTACCAAACCATGCGAGACTTTCGCTTCGCCTTTCTCTTATAAAGAGACATTAGTATCCGTGGTGAATCTGTGTAATAATAAAATGTAAATACTGATAAAGAACCATTTAGATGTGCTAATCGATGGGATTCCGCTACAGTAATCAAGCCCTCAGGCGACAGTTTGATAGTGATCGCATAGTGACGGACACAGTCAACTAGTTTGCTATCATTTTATCATCTTCATGAGAATAAGGCCCAAATATACACATTTTGTATTCCTTACATACAAACATACTTCTACTATCAATATGTTACGAAAGCAAATCAACATCTTCGTACGTAACGACTAAAGACGATGAACAACAAACAAAAGACATTGACCCAGGTTCATGGCGTTAAGTGGTATTCTGATTGGAAATTAGTTTATTCTAATCTTTTCAGAACAGGGATATAGTCCGTACATAATCTTCTACGGGAAGGACTACAGAGGAATTCCATAGTTCTACATGGAATTGAGTTTTGAAGTTGAACTGAAGAACACTGAAGATCTTGTGTCATAAGAGTTCCTACTGATAATCACCATTCTTGAAAAAAAGTGCTAAACGCTAGAAAAACGTCTCTTTCATAAATATCACTTCTTAACATCTATTTCTTCAATTGTGAGTAAGCGAATAAGAAGCGGGGATGGAGCAAGAATGAATGAACTATGAGCGGTACACTCGAGATGAAGCAGGAATGAATGAATTATGAACAGATCATTCGAGGTGGTGAGTAGGCCTGGAATATCATTTGAACTTCATTCCAAATCGTGACAAGATCTCTAACCACAACGATGAAATGAAAGTGATGAGGGTTAAAAAAACAGTAGAAAGTTGTGACGTCAAGGCGATAAGAAATTGATGAGGTCATATTGTGAACATTATTGATGGTGCTAGATACTACTTTCATACGATAATTTAAAATTAGAAGGTCAATTGCTAGCTTGAGTCATAATATGGTAACAGTGTAAGAAGGCTTCCCTCATCGAATCAACTAGCCAACGATGGTGTCGATATGTCTAAGACCTTCCGGGGGTATAAGTGTCGACCGATGCTGAACTTAGAGAAAGAAAGATTATGACTGAGATACTTTACAGAAAGAATTATTCATAAATGCTCGATGAGAAGTAAAGGATGCGATCAGAAGCTCAGTAACAAAACAAGAAACTTCTATTTAGAGCACGAGGATTAAGAGATTTGCGAAACTCAACGATGAAAAGCGCAAACAGGATACCGAACAGGATATATAACGAGAAACCTTCGAATGGCTTCTAGAATCTGATCCGACTGATTACGTATGTGGATACGTTCTTCTAGGATCGATATGGATTTCTGCACTCCTGTCAGTCAGTCACTCGGTGAGCGCAGCGCCAACATCACCCACACCCGCACCCATCCACCCATCCACCCATCTGAATCGATGGCGTTGACCTCGACGGCGCAAGGAAATCGGTCTGGCATCGACAGCCTACAATGCCATATGCCCCTCTTAAATATCTCTTCACAACGACGAAAACGTTCGACATGAGGTTAGCGGCTACTGGATAGAGGAAAAAACTAGCCACTTTCATCCGAAGTTGAAGACTTCGTATGATCTTATTGATCCGTAGGTTCCCCGAGAATCTTCATAAAGTTCACTAGAGATAATGGAGATCTCAAAGATGTTACTAGTCTCTCATCCTCCCGCACTTCAACGACAATTACCAGATTACAGACGGGCCGAGTGGATGATGGAATTTGCTTCAGCAACATATTGACGCCGAAGCCGTGAAGGTAGAAACACATGGACTTCAACGAAATTCGACCTTGACATTCTTGTAACCGTCAATGAACAACTGCCCAGTTATGGGACAAACTTCAAAGTCGTTAATCTCGATAAACAGTCAATAATGTAACAGACAGTAGGGGTGACTGCTAAACAGTATTCACCATTTTGCAAAATTAGATGACACTACCGTTAAATTCTTGGTCCCTCTTCTCAATCTGATGGCGTAGAGGGTTCAATCACTATGGAGAATGATGACGTCATACTACTTCAACCGCCAAACTTTAAACTTGTCGTTGACGTCGCTGAAATGCCTCAGTGACTCACAGTCATCACGAATCTCGAAATGACTCAACCTTGTGCTATCGTTCGTCTCCTCTTCACCGCCGCCGACGTTGAATGAAATCTACTGGCCGGATCAATTGGATTCCGCTGATGAACAGTTGTTCATCCGTGGAAGGTGGTGGCAGCAGAGCGAAACGAGGCAGTTGCGACGGTTGAAGAGAAAGAGAGAAAATATGGTTGAAGAGAAAGAGAGAAAATATGAAGTGGAAGAACAAGAATAAAAGCGATGAGCAGAAAATCTTATATATTTACCATACTTTATGTTGAAGACGTTTCCTAGCATCTCAATTCAAAACGATCTCTCGATAAATCGCTAAGCGGTTCATCCGATGACGTCCATGCCTTGGACATCAGTTTTAGTGATAGATGCTGAAAAAAAAACCGGTCGATTTGCCTGTCGACTTCGTCTGAATGGGAACGCGACGTGGGAGGTGGTGATGGCGCTGTGACGGAGGCGAATGACGGACGAGGAGGCTAGGTCGAGCGATTCTGGGCCCGCCGATGAACACTCCTCCGCTCTCTCCGACATACACCACAGTCAATCGATGTGGGCCTAACGCCGAGGCCAGTCAGTCAGCCAGATACACCCCACCTCGACCGCCTGTCTGCTGTCTGTGGGCTGGCATAAGTGGTGGTGACGGTGGTTGTGGTGATGGTGGTGGTGGTGTGTGTGGCCTGTCAAGGACGAAGCAAACCCGACACCACTGTCGCTCCATCGCATTGGCGACGAGGCCATCTCGCGTTCACTCGAAACCTAGAGCCAATGAATCGACATCGACACGTACTATCGAGTAGACAAAAACATGTAGCACAGGTGAACGTGATGCTGACTACGAAACATCAGGCATTAGACACTCACCAAATATCAAGGATATTCTAAAGAGTAAGTTGGACAGTTTTCATTTTCTAACTACGACGACATCCCTAACATTGTCTGACCGAAACTGGGTAGAGCACTTGTGCCAAATTTGTGTCGGAGACCATAAAAATTCAGGCATCGTAGTAGATCGTATTACTACCAGATTTACCTGCTACTGCTAACTATCATTGACTTGGTCTTCTTCATCAAAGAATTAAATCTTGAAATCTTCCTTCCATAATCTACTTCTGCAGTATGGTGATATGAAGAGAAAAAACAAACAGAATGGAGATGTAGACAGTAAAGTTTTGAGATAAGGTGCAGTCTTCTTGATATCTCAATATTGTGCGGCGATGAAGGAAAACAAGTGCTAAGCCGTATGATCCTTCAAGGAAACACACGTAGGTCCTAAATTAACCCCGAATATCAAAAGTAGTATTAAAGAATTCTTCCCGCTTCAAAAGAGCAAGTAGTGTGGACTTGGTTGAAGCTCACGCGAAATTCTTATGGTAGGTTGGTGAAGGTGTCACCACACTTCCTATAAGATCCAGGACGTGTCTATCGGTCTAGTGAGATGAGACCTGTTGGTTGGCCACAATTGCTTGTAATTCGTTCCTCGATAACATGCAAATCTGATTTTACGATAATTCTGGCTCCATCGCCCACCAACACGGTTGTAGAACACTTCTCACTAGTCCACCTCGTTCAAATCGAGTCGCAATTACTTGTATCGGAAGGTGGTTGTTAAAGCCATAGTCCCACGAAGGCGAAACAGACGGTTGGGTGAGCAACACATAGTCATAGCCAGCTATCTAATCGACGTTCTCACCTCACAAACTGCCGGGTGTGGGGACCATACGAGGGAAGCAAATAAGGGCAGAATGATTGAGGGACTTTTAACACATTTTCCGGGTGCACACCTTCAAAATATTTTTCCATAAAGAACGATTTTCATCAAACGGCATTGATAAATTCTCATGAAGTAGTGCATATGTATATGTAACAGTGATTTAACAGCTATAGGTAAGGTAGCGATGCCATATCAATCTCTGCAAATTGCTTCCATATCTAGGAATTTCTGAAACAGCAGTTCGAAAAATGGAGCATCTCAGCAGTGTTGGGCTAGATCCTGTTAGACACAACTGCGTTTGAGCACGAGATAATGTGGCTGATTTGATGGACCCAAATAGCGCCTAAACTTTATGTACTTGCAATTCCACTGTTTCAACAGGAAGAGAACTCTTGACGATCGGTTCGAATAAGAAGAAAAGTTTGGAATTTTCTAGTCACACTATCGCTTCTTCGTCACTAGTCGTGTCACTGTGGATCGTTTTCTGATTCATGACACGTCTTGAAACTCAAGTTACACTTAGGCCAAACATAACCATCCAGTAGCAGTTCATGATTTCTGAGTGAATCGTTCATAGACTACGTCGTTAGTGAGGGAGACGGTGTCGAGCGCGCCGCCGCCGTTCACAATCCAGAGGATTCTCTCCCAGCAACCATCGCCGATGACACAAAGGACAATTTCGCAATAAGGATGGTGCGCCAGGCCACCATATATCTGGAAAGAAGTGGAAATCAAGATGACGGAAGGAACACTTTATACTTAACAGCGTAAATTACAACATAACCTGAGTATTGCCGGAACTTTATCGCAATTATCGCAGCAAGGCTATCAAACTCCAATTTATTGCTATTGTTCTCAAACTGCCCATCTGGTACCGACCAAGATATTTTTTAGTTGAAAACTAAGACATAAAAAAGAAAGACCAACAATCTGAGAGGTTTTCATCTGAGAGAAATCTCCTCAATATCTAACGGATTTCTGCGAAAAGAAGAGAACAACGCATCATGTGATCGTGATCATGGTGACAGAGAAAGCGGAACACAGAGAAGCGACTGTTCATAACAGATGTCTTGCATCAATCGCACAAACGATGTCGTTTACATGACCTTGACGTCTTCTCGGTCGATGGCGGGTGATGGTAGCGGTAGTGGTTAAGTCACAACGACCTTGACGTCTTCCACAAGTCAACGTAAGAGAGAACCTTTCGAGTCCGCAACGACGAAATCCACATTATTTGCTCAAGATAAACATCGCTCGCTGAGTGAAACTATCGATGTGCACGACGACGAGAATAATTTAGACGACGTTGTAGGTAGCTAGGGGTGTCAACTGAGCTCTTAGTGCTTCATAATTTGTGGCGTGAAGATGCAGAGCAAAGGTGGATTTGACTCTTCATCCATTACTGGACAAATCTTGGATAGATCATCGATGGACTTTCACGGAGCAACATTTCAGAAACTATCCATTATCCTACCTGTGACAGTAAATTATCGATTCTCGAGTGATTAATGAAGTTTTTCGAGAATAAACGATTTAGGAAAATAAAGAAGAATGAAACGACCACATGTTTATTCTAAGAATGCTTTATTTCACATCGTTTGACCGTGCAGATGTTTTGTGTTGAAAAGCGCCGCGTGGAGATTAACAAAGGGAAATTCGCTGATACCCACCTGACGTGGCTAGTTCTAAAACCAACACACTAATTAGAAAAGATGGTGCAATGATGATGATGTTTGGCAGCAATCTCTGCATTCATAAAGTAGATCCAGGAAAGTGCGGAATGTAGATAACCGGAACAACATTAGTATGGTCATACCCCATGTGAGGCTTCACGGAATGAAAAAATCGGTTTTTTCTGTTTCGTATATATTTTATGCAAACGTATAGAGATTATTTGAATTCGGGTGTTCCTACACGAGCAGGACGCTCCTCTACTCAAGTACTTGAGTTCGAACGCCAGTGAAATCTTGATTACTGGCAGAATCTGGTTGCCATAACGGCAATAGTCTTCTAGACTATTCGTTGCTGAGGTGGGTTCAGATACATTAATATCGAAGTGAGAGATGTTGAGAAAAAGAAGGTGAAAGCCCATCGTGGCACAATTAATGCACCATAACGACAGGTTGCCCTCTGAAGCCAGACGATGTAAACCAGAAGCCAAGTGCATCGTGAGCGAAACTCCATTATGTTGACAGATTTCCAGTTAACATTGAGTTCTTCCTTTCCCCGGAACGAGGAAGAAATTCAAGATATTAAATGACGTAGTTGTTGAACGGTTAGTCTCCTTTTTGTAACCAGTTACACTTCTCCTACAAACTTCTTTCAGCCTTAACTAATACAGTACTAAGATTAAACAATTTTCGTGATAGTACGGCAGCGGTAGAATTCTCCGTAAATGGAAAAGTTCTCTTGAACATAAATCAAACGTTATAGCGATCGTTAAGTTATCACTGACGGATTAGTAAAAATTCTGAAGATAACGACCCTGTGATAAAAGGTGCTCTACAGAAAGCTTTAATAAGCGGCAGCTTATTCGAAATACAAATTTTAAAGTTTATAAAACAAAAATTAGAACTGTTGAGAAAGTACGATTCTCTCTGTCTTTAGTAGAATTGGATACGAATATTTCCACTAAAACTTCTGTGAGTCTTCTTCCTAAAGGTACTGTATATCATTAGTACAGTATTCAAAAGAGGACTTACAGTATTCTTGCTTCAGCACTGAAGCTTGCTGAATGACGTTAGGAAGCCCGAAAACCGCACACTCTCAGTGACGTTGTCCGAATACACCTGAAATATGCTATAAGTGAGTCGGAAACGAGGAAAATGAACTTTTTTAAGTGGACGGTGAAAGTACAAAGCGTAATAACAAGAGTTACAGAGGAGGATCATAATTTAAGAATCGAAGGAATACTGCCAGTGATCGGTACATGTCACTATGCTTCGAACCTTTTCAGTACTTGGAGTAGTACGGAAGAAAACGATACTGAAAGAGAAACCAATAGCCTCTACTAGCTGCTTTTCTGGAAAATCTATGGTGCTGAGAAATTTCTTAGGCTAAGATCTCTGATTGTTGTTGCTAAGAAGAACGACTGGCATGCAGCAGAAATAGATCTAGGACTAAGATGATGCTATGATATGCAGCATTTGGAGGCGATTCAGTACGTCGTGATGACAGTGGTGATCGTTCAGACGAAAGACGGTGTACAGATGGATGATGGCGTCGCCAACGAAACGCATTATCGCAGGCCGAATCGTCGACGACCGACGCACCTGACCCACACCGTATTAGGTCAGAGCGTCCGTGACGACCACTTACGACGCAGTTTTTGAAGAATATGACCAGCCAATTCATTAAGAAGCAGTTCTGAATGGGTTAGTATAATTCATTGCAATCTATCTGTGTGTAAACAACAATATTACTGACAAAGTCCATTAGAGCAATGTTTATTCATGTCCATCTACTTTGATCATTCCTTCTGGTAGAACTTTGCCCAACCAGTTCGCTATCCATCAGTGCCTGCGTATTTGATCGAAATATGAAAACATGTCACATTTACCAGATCTTACAGCTCGCTCGTTTTAGGGCTGTGGTTGTGTTTCATTCTTCAATCAATCGTCGAACTTCTTCTGATACGTCGCGTCGACGTTGACGTTGGCCGTCGACGTGCTGAGGACGGACAACTGCGCTTAAGATGAGATGAGTGTGTGTGTGGGACGACGGATGATGGGACGACAGACGCTCACACTCAGGGCCGACATCAAAGAAACTGGAGTGATGGCCGGCCGACGAAGAGGCGCGGCGGCCGAACGAACGAAGAACGAAAGGAGCCGGCGTCTTAGAATCGATAGACACGACGGGTTTCAGCAGCAGCAGCCGCCCGAAACATCCGACTCACCCAGACAGGCACACACACACACACACACACAGACGTCCTTCTTTCCGATAACAGCTAGGAGTAATCTTTGGTTGTATTCAACACGTCGTGATGACGAACTTCATGGACGACATGGAATTGCAAGAAGCGTAGAGAACAAAAATCCGGGCTACAATAAAGAGATGCTCGGAGTTTAGGTGACAGACTGACAGGAAATCTTATCAAAACTAGTTTAACGAGATTCTGGAACCAATGCGAAGGCAACGAAAGCTGTGTTGGTGGAGAACAATTCAGCACTAATGTGTCATAGTTTGACACATCGACCAAACGAAATTTCATTGTAGAGGTGATATAATAGAGAAAGATATTGTTCGGTAATTCAGAGCATTCTGAATCGAAGTGTTTACGATGGTAAAAGTCTTAAAGAAGGAGTCTTTTTTAGCGAGTGTTATGATCACCACACAACTTTCAAGGCGAATAGCGTAGTCTGTGATAAGGAAGATACAGTTGTATAGGGTGTACAAGCTGGTGATTAGATCAAACTGATAGGTGGCAAAACTTCCATGGCTTCGATGATAGGTCCTCAGAATGTCCCATATTATCCAGCATCGCTTGCGACGCTGCTGCCGCTACATGCTGAAGAGGCACGCCTGTTGTAGATTACACTCTCAGCGACGGAATCGCCGGATATCAGTAAACGGACGATGACGCCTGATCTGTGAAGTCTGGGTCAATGTGAAAGCATTCGGCATCGATGAGTAATCACTAAAACACATAGATTGATGCTCATGCTTGACGAATAAACACACTTACCAGAAGACTTCCGCAACTGAGAGACCGACGCAGAGTTAATGTTCTGATGGACACATTGCCCGCTTAGACCAGCTAAACGCTATGCATTCGCACCGCGTCAATCCATAGTGATGGTTATGCACTCTAACTACATCCTCTTCGACATGACTGATCCCACTCATAGAATCTGTGTTCATGGAAACCATATGTGCTAGTAAGCTGAACAAGGTCACTAAGCTTCTGGACTGGTTATTTATGCAGAATTGGACAAACCTGTTTATTGAATGAAGTACCATGGGCCGTCACAAGCACTCTTTAAAAATAAATAGTGAGTGTGCCAGCGACGTTCTCTATTCCAATTAGTAGAAAGACGTCTTCGATACTCTTCCGAAGTGTGAGGATTTGCTTCCCACAAAAAATCATTGTGTTGTGAAAAAAATCACCGAACCTCATCTCAAACCTTGAAATTCATTGATTGCTCAGTGTTATACTCTTTCCACATCTTTGCTGGTCGAGGTTAGACGTACGTGATAGAAAGCAGATTAGAGTGGCTCCTACGAGTATGATGAAGCGACCCCAACCTACGAGATGAGATTATGAGTTTGTGGCTCACGTCAAGCAGCTGTATTAGCAGCTGGGAACGATTTATGGATCCCGGAATGGTTCTGCCATAGAGGGCACTTCACCACGACTGATACAGAAGCCACACAGTTCGCGAACATGGGACTATACCAGTATCCTGGCAAGTAGTTATCCCTACGCATTGACTATAACGATGGTGAAACGTATGACTTTCATCGTTGTTTAAAACCAGTTCATTAGCTGGCTCTCCCCATATGGTACCTTATTTCTCAACAATAGTTTTGTTTTTCTGCTTGATTTTGTTAATAAGTTTATAAAGTAAAGAAGGAAAGTGAATCAAGCTACTTCCATTGCATCCAGTTCAAAGTGAGACGTAAAGTTATGGAAGCTGTTAGCAATGTTAACTACTTATTAAACAGGAAGATCGTCTACGAACGCACGAGTCAATCTTGATTCTAAAAATTTCTTAGCGATGACGAGGTCCTTAACGACGTAGATGGTCGCCGACATTATTCTGCAACTGACGATAACCATAATTGAAGGCTATTATTGAGAATGACTTATGCAAATAACTTAACATATTGCAAAAGATCCGAACTCCCACCATTCATGAATTGATTCAGATTTGAGCGAATTTGATAGACTAGCAAAAAAGGCTCTTCAAAGTGTACAATTTTCGACAAGAGATTTTAGGCAATAGGAATATTCAGCATCCTCAGAGCTTCCATTAAGGAATCACTAGCTCGTGCAAAAGTAACTGTATTCGGTAATTTTACCTTTCTTATTAAAAATGTAGGTACTGACGTTTCTTATGTACACTAACAGATTTTGTTCTGTGTTAGATGCACTAATTCGAAGTTTCTTTTGATAAAAATCATAGTTAGTCGCCCTTTAGTAACTCATTAGCTACATCGCTCTCGCATATACTGTAACAGATTCTACGACTCAGTGGCTAGTGAATAATATGTTATCGTAACCATGACGTCATATATTCAGGATAGGACTAGGTACTGTGTAAATGGATTCAGTCGACTATACTACGAATGACGTAGTGATGCTACAGAGCGTCTGGGTAAGATCGAGCGCGGCGCCGACCACATCTGCACAAATAATCCGGCTGCTTACACCAACTTTCACAACGCACTTCGATGATCGACGAACTTTGGCAATCAGAAATATTCCAGAAGTTATTTCACTAACTAAGGGTCATATTTTGAGATAAATAGACCACTACTTCTTGCTTCTACTTCCTTTCGGACTTTCGACGTCCGAAATTGCTAAACTAACGTGCATTAAATCTTGTGCAAAATGTGGTTTATTCGCAGAAAGCTTCCAAGATTGTGCTTACTCTAAGAAAATGACGATTCGTTGAGCTAAATCTTATTCCTACTTAACTACCAATAGTTCCAAAGCATAAATGAACACATTTCCTTTGATTAAATTGTTCGAACCCTCTATATTCTATGACACACCAAACCTCATCACCTGAGGTAAAAGTGCAACAAACTCTGTTCGATAATGGTGTTATGTATGACGTACTGAACAGATTTGCTTCATAAACTCTAGAGCAGATTCATACTCCATTAATATCTTACCAATGCTAAACTCAAAAATCAAGCATGGCCAAATGTGGTTCTGGCTCTTCGCAGTGGTAGCTATATGTTCGTAGATTGAGTACACATGAATTCAGTTTTATACTTTGTATTCTGTATAAACCTAGCTATCGTTTTTCGATTCTCACTAAATCAGTGTTAACTTCTGATTTCGACGCTGAATCATATATGAATATGTTGCCAAACACTGAAATCCTTTACGTTCGTGAGTCACACCACTCATACTGAATCTCTTGTTGGTGTTACGGTCACCGTTCACTAAGGTTGTGTCGTCGTTGAATCGGTGTTCGATCGATGAATCGTGATCAAGATGTGTCCTGTAGACCTCGTTAAAGGCTGGATCAGCTCCCTTAAACGAGAATGAGGGGTCGGATAAGGAGGAAGAAGAAGAAGAAGTCTTATGAGGAGCGCTGTCGCGAACAATTGTCAGCACACACACACAGACAGACGAACAGACAGCCGTAGACGCAGACGGGTGTCGTCTTCTCAAGCGGTGGCCGTGGAGGTGTGCAGAGTGCAGTAAAGTGGTCGACGAGAGACGTCGACCAGAGAAATGACCTCCTAGGCCTCCTGCCCTCCACCATCGTGGAGGTCTCACATCGGCCTTCACCACTGAAATCAGCTCTACATCCGACTTTGAGGTGTTGCAGGGCTCCAACCGACCAAAGTCATTGCACTAATCGGCATCTGCAGAGAGATGATACACGAGATTAATTAACTTACAAGCCTGTAGATGCTTTACTAGATGGAAATCTTGCTTGAAAATTACTCTCAGCATTCCATAGTCCGTCGTCAATGTCCAATTAAACGAAAAGCCAGTGTGATAGCACCTATTTTACGTTCGGGTGAAATCTATAATCAATAAAATTTTGCAAAATTTCGTCGTCATTAAATGCAAGCCTTGGCTCTTTGTGTGAAAAGCGGAGCTAACTAATAAGATGACGTTAAGTAAATGTTCCTCGGAAGTGTACTGCATCCAAGAATTTTCAAGTGCATCGTCAAGTAGTGAACTTGTCTGAATGACTCCTTTCATCCAATTCCACATCCGTGATGACAGTTTACCAGTTAGTTTGACATTTCATAAGCAAAACCCTATTCCATTGGGTCAAATGTGCAGAAGTCGATAGCAGCAGACACATCTGACAAGGTTTAAATTTCGGCGTCATTTTGCAAGAAGTGTTCAATAGACTTCAATTTTGAGATGGAAGCGATAGCTACTCTTCAGTGAAGCCTTTTAGTAGGAGACCTTTCGTGATTGGAACTGCTGATGAAATTACTAGATGTTATTCTGTTCCATCAATGACAAGGTGTCATAGTCATAGCATTCCAATATCCCATGAAGAATTGTTGTCACAGTGAAAATTAGAATCTCCGAAGAATATAGAGAAAAACATGCTTCAAATTTGGTTTCGGAAAACGATTTAACAGTGTTTAGAATAGACAGAATTCTCTTACGGAGAAAGCAAACAGGTCGCTATTTCCTTGATAACCACACACTAGGTTGCTGTTTTATCTCCTATTCACAAAAACGCTGGCGTTTCGGCGCACTTCGGCTTCTTCAGAGCCAGGATATGTTCTTTTACTTTTTTATTTTTTTAGGATTTTTAAATGTAAGTTTATGTCAGTGTATGTGTTAACTCCATCCTTCGATGTTCTTTGACCTGTTCGTACATAAAGTTCCAATTTCGACTGTCCAATTTATCTTCATTGGACTGGAGCGCCACTAAGTGTATAGTCTACATGATATACCATCTATGATCCTTTTAATTATCGTCTGACTTAACTCGACACCTGGAATGTTTTTCCACTATTCCACGTCGCTCGTCCGAGGTATCGGTAGGCTCCGTTCATTTGTAGTAGCGGCGACGAAATGTACCACACAATGAGACCCTTTAGTTTTATCGTTTCTCGTGATATAGTATCAATGGGTAGTATGCTAAGGAATCGATGAACAGATGTGAAGCTTATGAGATGCGCGTGACTTTGTATGTAGTATATCCGTCACCAGATTGCAGATTTTGGGCCAAATCCAAGTGTGAGGATATAGGAATGAGTTTTATAGACGTGAGCACACCCGTGTTCATAAAAAAGAATACTTCAACGTTCGCAGGGGATGTTTGGGTCAATCCGGAGCAGCGCAGAAAAGTATACCTATATCCAGTGAAGGCACATGAACAATTTAAGTCAAGTCGATAGTGGATTGTGATCCA